TACACTATTATCTATTTTGTGTTTGAGTTTATAGTACTTGTACTCAACTCAAATTTGTTGTTTAATAATAATAATAATAATATTTGTTGACCATGTAGTTTCATCATGATCTAGCTGTTACCCGCGACTTCGTACGGTTAAAATTGTTAAAACCGAAGTTTACATTGTAAGAAATACCTTTCTGCCTAGTCGCTGGTAAGAAAAGGGTGTTCATTTGAAAACTTTCCTTGATTTTTCTTTTAAATAATTTTCCATAAATCTGTGCTGGGAAATTTTCAAATGAACATCCTATACTTCGAAGTTGAGTCATTTATTTTAACAGTGAGTAGATCTGATCAAAAGAAATGTTTTTTTCCTTTACCATTTTTCTGGTAAAATTAAAGTAACAAAGTTATAGCCCTTTGGAAGTTTGAGTACCGCCCTGTCTCAATAATGATATTATGTTCTCGTGTTTGGCAACAACAGATATAATCCGCCTTATCCGTTCATCGCATCGGAAACAAAAAAGCGAAAGAATTTGGAACGATCTTTTTACAATTATTTTCTTCAGTTGTATACAGTCAGTATCAGTCGGTAGTCGGTAACGCGTAAGTGAATAATCGTGTCTGTTGCGAGGCTCAAATCAAAAATGGCACATGTTTACGAAAATGCTGAACTTGTGGACATGGTTCTTATTTACGGGGAGTCTTTACAAAATGCTGCCGCGGCATCACGGATCTATGCGGATCGGTTTCCCAATCGAGTGCAACCAACCCCTCGTGCCTTTGTTAATGTAGTGCAAAGAGCTCGTGAATCAGGTGACTTAAGACCTCACAGAGGAGATCATGCCGGTGCTCCAAGACCACACGATCAAATAGAACTAGAAGAACAAATTTTAGAATTAGTAAGTGATGATCCAACAGTAAGCACCCGACAAATTTCAACTCAATTGGCGATTAGTCAGTATAAAACTTGGAAAACTCTACGTGAAAATCAGTTCTATCCGTTTCACATACAAAAAGTGCAGGCCTTACAACCGGAAGATCATGAACAAAGGGTTGACTTTTGCAATTGGCTTTTAAATAAACATCAAAATGATGACAATTTTTTAAATCAAATTTTAGTGAGTGATGAAGCCCTCTTTACTAGAAACGGAATTATTAATTCACGTAATTCTCACGTTTGGGCTATTGAAAATCCCCATGAAATAAGGGAAACCAATTTTCAACAGCGATTTGAACCAATCAACCTGTGGGCGGGAATTGTTAATGGAATTTTAGTGGGGCCTTTTGAATTACCAAATCGCTTAACTGGTGAAAATTATTTTGATTTCTTGCAACACAATTTGCCTGGTTTACTGGAAGATGTGCCTTTAAATATTAGACAAAACATGTGGTTTTTACAAGATGGGGCACCACCCCATTATGCAAGAAATGTGCGTGAATTTTTAAATAGACAATTTAATAATCGTTGGATCGGCCGTGGCGGTTTTGTACCTTGGCCGCCAAGGTCTCCGGACTTAAATCCTTTAGACTTTTGTTTGTGGGGTTGGCTAAAAACTCTAGTGTATAAAACACCGGTTAATACACGCGAAGAATTACGTGCTCGAATTGAGGAAATGAGTACAGTGATCAGAAATCAACCAGTGATTTTATTGCGTGCTTGTAAAGAGACATGGCTAAGACGCGCCCAGCTGTGCGTCGAGCAAAACGGAAATCATTTCGAACAGTTTTTGTGACATGCTTTTGGGCGCACAGGTCCGCACTGAAATACTTGTCGGGAGGATACTTTATAAAACAAGGTAACATTTTTTTTTTAATTTTTTTTTATTTTTACACACATATTTTGGTTTATCTTCCTTCTACAATCATTATCTGAAAATTAATGACTCAACTTCAAAGTCACCCTGTATATAGCCCTATCTTTGGAATTCGTCCAATTTTAGGTATCTAGCAGAATTTTCAAACTAACCTGCAAGTACCTTCCAACCCCCATAATACGGCCCTGTCGCTAGATCCGATCCGAACAGTACAAACCTGTAAATGCCTGTATTCCCCTTTAATCCGGACCTGTCGCAAAATTTATTCCTAGCTTGCATATCATGTCCATAAAACTTTCTGTCAAATTTCATGTTCATAGGTAGAATAGTTTTTGAGATTTGGTGATTAATACCTTTGTATACAGGGTGTTTCAGTTTATTGTTGCATAACTTTAAGATTCGATTGAACTTTTAAAATTAATGCATAAAGTCTATATAAACATGGGTCGAAAAATGCGTGGCTTCCGAAATACAGGGTGTTTAAATTTACTTTCTAAAATAGTTTTTTTTTTAATATTCCTAACAATATTTGATGTATAATAGTAAAAATTGGTATACAAGGGTTTTTTGGTACGACAAAACGAACCATGGCATAGTTTTACTGTAGCAGCTAGAAGGCGCCCTCTACTGTACCTGTAGTGTATTAAAATGACCGAAAATTTTTTCTTAGTGCAATTTTTTGCTTTTTGAATAAAAAAACTGATTCTTCGCTCTTTTCAACATAAAAAAGATCTCCTGTGAGTTTTCGTTATAGTTAGCCGTTTTTGACATATTTCGATTTTTAAGGTTCGATGCATTTTTACTTATTTATGATAAAATAATAATAATAATAATAATGACGTTAAAAAGTCAGTATCTCGATAATTTTTAGAAGTAGGCTGTGCCTGCAAATATTTTTGAAATTGAAAGCAGAATAAGTTTAAACGTCAATTAGTTGACAGTTAGTTTTGTTGTCTGTTGAAACCTGAAACGTTTTTTTGCAATTTTGAATGCACGAAATTTAGTTTCTGTTACCTGTTTTTTTTGTAAGTTTTATAAAAATGCCATTTTTATTCTCCAATCAAGAGTTAGCGGATATTCATTTTGTTTATGGTTTTGTAAATGGAAACGCAGCAGAAGCAGCCAGAGAATACGCACGAAGATTTCCAAACAGACGACATCCAACTCGCTCAGTATTTGTAAGAGTGCATCACCAAATAATTGAAAATGGTTTTGGAAATCTCCAAAGGGATCAAAACATAAATGTTCGTCAGCGCAGATTTACCCGTATGATTCTGCATGAGTTTGATAGTAATTCAACCACAAGTGTTAGGAGAGTTTCTAGTGCCTTGGGAATTTCAGCAAGCCATGTTCACCGTGTTCTTAGAAATGACCATAGATGTCCTTACCATTTGCAACCTGTGCAAGGACTACAGCCAGGGGACGGAGAACGAAGAATCACATTTTGTCAGTGGATTCTTGATAGAACTGATAATAATGCGGAGTTTTTAAGTAACGTTCTATGCTCCGATGAGTCATGCTTCACTAGACATGGAGTGGTAAATTTTCATAATCAACATATTTGGTCGCATGAAAATCCGCATGCAGTTCGGGAAAGAAATTTTCAGCATCAATTTAGTGTGAACGTGTGGATTGGTATCTACCGTAATCGACTATTTGGACGCTACCTTTTGCCTGCTGCGACCATCTTGGAATTTTTAAAGTCTGAACATGCAAATATGTGGGATGATGTTATGTTAGATTTAAGAAGATTGGCCTGGTTCCAGCTTGATGGTTGTCCAGCTCATTATTCGAAAATAGTTAGAAACTGGCTGGACGAAAATTATCCAGAAAGATGGATCGGCCGTGGAGGACCAGTCGCCTGGCCTCCACGATCCCCTGACCTAAATCCATTAGATTTCTTTGTGTGGGGATTTCTAAAAGAAAAAGTGTACCAGACTCCCGTAACCACAAGAGATATGCTAATAGACAGAATCAGGAATGCATGTGATGAAATAAGGCCTCATTTGAATAATGCTATACCACGTTCGATCATTCGTAGATGTGAATTGTGTATTGAACAATTAGGTTTACATTTCGAGCAACTACTTTAGATTTTGTATGTTTGTCCTAACTATCCAATAGCATTTTAGTTGTAAATAATTAATTTAACATGTTAAAAATAATATTGGATAATTAAACAAATTAATATTCTGTTTTTTTGTGTTTATTTGGAGTTAGGAATTATTGCTGTGTTTAAAAACACAATCTAAACGATCATCTTAATTACTTGTAATGCCCAAATAGAAAATGTAAAAAAAAATGTTATTTTCCCATAAATAATTAAAAATGCATCGAACCTTAGAAATCGAAATATCTCAAAAACGGCTAACTATAACGAAAACTCACAGGAGAGCTTTTTTATGCAGAAAAGTGCGAAGAATCAGTTTTTTTATTCAAAAAGCAAAAAATTGCACTAAGTAAAAATTGTCGGTCATTTTTATACACTACAGGTACAGTAGAGAGCGCCCTCTAGCGGCTACAGTAAAACTATGCCCATGGTTCGTTTTGTCGTACCAAAGAACCCTTGTATACTAATTTTCACTATTATACATCAAATATTGTTCGAAATATTTAAAAAAAAACTATTTTAGAAAGTAAATTTAAACACCATGTATTTCGTAAGCCACGCATTTCTCGACCCATGTTTATATAGACTTTATGCATTAATTTTAAAAGTTCTATCGAATCTTAAAGTTATGCAGCAATAAACTAAAACACCCTGTATATCTGCTCTTAGTCGCCCCTCAATCCAGCCTTGTCGTGAAATCCGTTAAAATATGACATGTCCTGTCTATGCTAAATTTCGTGCTCATGGGTTAAACAGTTTCCGAGATAAATATCTTTGAACTTAACTTGAAAGGTGACAAGATATTTTTTCATGAATTCTCCATTACAATCTTTCATTTTAGACAAAACATAGATCTACATGTAGGCTGGCTTAATTTTGAATATAATAGGTTCTTCAGGCTCAATATTATTGACCCCGACCACACCATTTAGGGATGGACTAGGAGCTAATTGATGTGGTAACATTGAGCCAAAATCGAACATTATTTTGCATTTTCGGAAAGAATATCTCAAAATAACCATACGTATCTAAGCTTGATGTTCTTATAAGTTGTGTATTGTTTTTCACTAGCTGCATTTACTTTTGTTACAGAAAAGTGCTAAGTTGATACTGAATGCCAAAGAAGAATCGGACGTAGACAGGTCCTCTGAGTGTGAGGAGGCACACGTGAAATGTTCCAGGTATTTTCGGCAAGTAAATGCATGGTAAATATATCATTAATTTAGTATGCCCTAGATCTAGATCTAGACGGCTTCTAATCTAACGCATGACTAACATTTGTGGTAGTATATGTAACGATAAAATCCACACTAAAATTCGTCAAGTAGCTTGACTACGTACGAGGGTGGTCCCAGAAGTACCCGACCCAACGAAGAAATTTTGTAAAAAAATGTATTTATTTTGCAACATAATGTCCTTTGAGCTCTATACACTTTTCCCAGCGATGTTCAATAAGTTCGATACCCTTTTTATAAGAAGAACTGTCATGCTCCTCAAAATAGCCATTAACTGTCGACATCACTTCTTCATCGTTGGAAAATCTTTGACCACTGAGCCATTTTTTCAAGTTTGGAAAATAATCCGAGAGGGCTAAATCTGGTGAATAGGGTGCATGAGGTAGCAGTTCAGCTTTTATATTGGTTGGGCTGAGGCCTTTGAAATAAAAGTATTCTACCACATAACGATGACCAATTTTCTCCATTTTCACAAATTCACTGAAAACGTTCAGTATTGATGGCTGCCAAACAAATACTAAACAACTTGGCGTCTTCAAACTTGACACATATGCTTTATAGGTTGCATACTTTCTAATACAATGATATTTTCTGGGACCACCCGTACTTCCCACTCAACGCTGTCATAAATTTATAAAGTATTATGTTCGGTACTAGTCAGCCTTTGTGAGCAAAAAGCTAGCTACTAGCATGTAGAACAAAAAAAAGTGAAATGGACGCGGCAATCTATAAATTTCTCCCCGGTCTTACCGACAGTATCGACCGTCTGGCAACATTGCTGAACCATTCCAGTCAGCCGAAAGCCAGCGGTGAGCGATCGGACGTGAGATCACCACATTTTTGCACACAGGCACACGTTTGCTGCGTTCCCGTGGTACCGATACGCGACGCGTCTGTTGAAAGTGTGTCGTATCATTTTAACGGGAAATCTATGATCTGTCATAAATAAGCTACCGCCAAATATTGAGAATACCTCCAACAATCCACAACCACTAATTTTTAACTCGATTAAAACATTTTCTGAAAATAAGAGGTACTGAAACGTCAAAAGACTAACTTTGAGCGATTTTTATTCATTTATTTTTTTGCCTGTAGCTTCGTCGCCACTGGATTGATTTTGAAAAAGTACAAAGCTTTTTCGTGCTTGTCATAGTAATAACCTTGTGTTAAAATTTCATCAGAATCCGAGCTATACTTCCCAAGTTGTAGAGAGGTCAAGGACAGACCGACACATAAACCGATGGACAAACAGACTAACAGACGCCGACGGAAATGAGTTACAGTTTTTCATGATGTGCGTGTCAGGTAACATCCAGAAAACGTAACATCTTTGAAGTGTCTCGCAATTACAATAATCACTGTTCGATTGAATTATTTGATTGCACAATTTCCCATAAGAACCTGCTTAAGATCGTTAAAGTAATGTTTAAGCAATTGTCTGCTTAAATTATGATCACAGGCTATTAATTTCAGTTAAAATTCTTGTAATAGCGGTTAGCAGCCAGAAAAGTAAATTTAGCCATAATCATCCTAATGGTAATAATTACTCATGTAAGCAGAAGGCCACTCCTTACATATTATGCTGACGGAATTGGAAAGGACGTTTGCAACGTGGTTGTCTGATTAAATTACTTTATTAATCAATCTACTTATTAATATTACCCCCAATAAAACACGTTTAAGCAGTAAATTAATATCTGCTTCAAATTCGACCCTCATCATTGCGATCTCAGAAACACCGATGCAAACTCGGATAAAGTGGATAAAGTTGCGAATTTAAGAAATTGAGAAAATCACACTTACAAAGACTCGCAATTTAGAATATTTCCGGAGGTAGAAGAACAACAAGAATCTTCCTAAAACCGTTTTATTTTTTCCGGGCTTTATTCAAAGGGGGTTTCCACATTTCACATTACGTGGTGGCATAATTGCAATTTCAGTGTTTTGTTCTTCATCATCAAGGGGCCGTTCAAGTATTACGTGAGCACTATGGGCGGGTCTTTGCTTTGCTTATTTTGGATGACATGGGGGGTAGGGGAGTCTAGATGATGATCACGTCATCGGTAGTTATTTACTTTTTTACACGAATGGCAACCCTCACATTGTCTTTGCTTGAAAACGAAACGCATTTTCGGGGATTTCCGCAAATAATGCATACTTAGGGAACAGCGCGCGGTAATTCCCCTACTCGGTTCTAAAGCGAGTAGGGGAATTACCGCGAGGTGATCACTTCTCTAAATTTCCTCTATCAGTGTATGGTTTCATTTGGATGACGTATTGTAAGCATAGTAAAGCAAGTTAACATTTGTGTTACCGTTGATTCCATTAGCCAAAGTTTAATGTTTAAATAAGATGTCGTTTCACATAGACAAATCCAAGTTATACCAAAAATTGTTAGAAAGTTTTAAAAATCTCATACAAGTACGAAAGTACAAAATGTACAAAAGTTAGTTAACGAAGTGTGGCGAAATTACAAATTACAAGCAAAATCCGACAAGGAACTAGATATTGTTGTATCCAAGAGAATCGAAGAATTGCGAGCGGCGACTAAGAATAAATCCAATCTACTAAATTTTTTTTCTAAGGTGAGTGACGAAATCATTTTAGGTACCTATGAGTACTAGAAATATCAGAAAACGGCAAAAAGTTTCTCTTTACTGATTAGAAAATATTATGGCCTATCTCAAAGTATAGAGGTAATATTCATTATATTATAGATTTATTTCTTATGATTGATTCCGTCAATCGGTCACAAAGTACAGGATGTTAGTTTTATACATATACGTATATACAGAAAACTAACACCCTGTATTTTGTGACCGGAACGAATTGCTCGTTCAAAAATATTAGATTTAAAGTCATAGGGTTTTGTATTTACCATTATATTGCCATACTTTGTATTTATGTAGCTTAATAAGAGTCTTTAGCAAAAGCCATAGATAGCTTTTATTTTTAGGCAACCTGTAAACCTGCAGAAAAAACACAAATTATACAGTCAGCTTCAAATATTAAAAAAGGGGAAGAAGATAGAATAAAACCCGGTAATGAATCACAACAAGAAATTAATGAAAATACAGATAAACAGAGAGCAAAACCTTCTCGGGAAGCTATGAAAAATAAGATTGCTCTACTCGAAAAAATCTGAATGCTTTGTATTCTGCCCGAGATACTATGCCAAGCCGTGCTGAAGTTGATAAACAGATCATTAAGTTGCGCGAGGAAATAAAAACAGCAAAACAGTCTTTACACAGGAAGGTTCAAAACGCAATTGCCCAGAAGAAACACAGGGATGGTATGAAAAGAAAGTTAGAAGATATTTGTCATGAAAATCCATAAATAAAAAAAAGACTATCTCTGAGGGATTGAGTGGGACGTCCTAATCTTCAAAGCAATCAACATTCACTATTGAAAACAATCGCGGATATATCTTTATTTGGGAGTGCAGCAGATGATAGAAGACGAACGGAATCATATTCGCAGCGTAAAAACTCTTGATGAACTCACACAAGAATTATGTAAAATAGGATTTGACATTAGTCGCAGTGGGACATATCTTCGTTTGATTCCCAGAAAATCTAATTCTGCAGAGCGACGAAGATATGTATCGACAGTCCCTGTTAAGCTCATTCGAACTCAAACTGATCACCACAAGAGCCACTTAGATAGCAAGTTCGCTGAAACATCAATCCACTATTTAGAGAACATAGCATCCATACTTGGACCAGATCAAGTATTTTTCATATCTCAAGATGATAAAGCTCGAGTGCCTATTGGCGTAACTGCGGCAAATAAGCAAGCACCTCTTCTAATGCACATGGAATATAGAATCAAATTTCCTGATCACGATTGGGTATTCGCTGAGCGTCATAAATTAATACCATCTGTTTATGCTGGTATCAAAATCACTTCCAATATGCTAGGACAACCGCAAGCCGTTGGATATTCTGGACCAACATACATCGCTATTCGAAGTGGAAAGCATAGTTCATACTGCTAATGCTCATGCTCAGGATTTCGAGACGCTTCTCGAACCTGAAGAGTTTCGACCATTAGCTAAAACTGACCATGGACTAGTAAAACCAGTGGTAATCATGACGGTTGAAATCCACCTTATCAAAAAGTCATAGGGTTTGCTATACAACACTTTAAGCGACATGATCTCGATGCATTGTTTTTAGCTGCCAATGCTCCTGGAAGAAGTGCGTATAACAGAGGAGAGCGCAGAATGGCTCCTCTTAGTCGGGAACTGGCTGATTTAATATTGCCTCATGACCATTTTGGGTCTCATTTGGATGAACGTGGCGTTACAATTGATGAACATTTAGAAAGATCTAATTTCGAATTTGCAGGAAATGTATTAGCTGAAGTATGGAGTTCAATGGAAATTGATGGCTATAATGTTAATGCAAAATATATTGGGGCAGATGAACAAGATCTTCCTGATTTTCCAGACATTAAATGGTATTCAGAACATGTGCGTGAGAGCCAATACTTGCTTCAAATTGTAAAATGTAGAAATACAGAATGCTGCCGTCCAAGAAGTGGCATATTTAGATTACTAGACAATAGGTTTCTTCCACACACCTGTAAAAGCAAAATAAACAGTTGATGACTTGGTTTTGGATGGAGGAGGGCAATTTCTTAATCATCCAGTCAATTTAGCTCTACGCTTAAGTGCTGATTACTCTCAATTGAAAAATGAGAATAAAAGGCACTGTATATTAGTTTCTAGTTGCAGAATAACAAAAACTATAAAATTTCGATCAAGTCTAACATTCGTGAGTTGCACTTTGTTGCATTTTATGACTTACTAATTGTTTAAAAGATTCTAGGCGACGTAAATATTATGAATACTGTGGCACGTGTCATATATAGAAAGCTTTGTATCAACAAAATGTATCAATACTTTTTATGAGGGTCATCAAGTAAAATTGGTCATTAAAATAATAGCAAATAAACATTCGGCTTCTGACAACTCGCATAACCATAGTAGTAAAGTGACCATTCATAGGCAAACAGATAATAACATATGGACAACTCAAACTCATTCTCATTTATTCATATGTCATGAAACATACTTTGTTTTAATATAGTACAAAAAATCAAAATCTTGATAACCCAGTAGCTACTTCACCCCCATTGCCCACTGGGAAGACTTGAAAAAATACGTTTAAAAACAGTAGTTAAAATGTTTCTTTCCTTTTACATTTTATAATAATTTCACTACTACAATTTTATAGAAGCTTTAACGCATATCATTCTGGTAGCATTGTAGTCTAAAAACATCATCATAATCAGTTACGTCTAAAGCAAGTCACATGGCTCTATGCATAAACAATAGATGATGCAATAGAGGTATATTTTAACAGAAAAAATTCTTAATTCGCTTTTCGGATTTTTCACAACCCCACTCATATCTGTCGGCATCTTTGTTTCTCTGCGAATTAAGTGATCTTAAAAATCGACACATTGCTACCTGAGGACCTAGCAAACAAATCAATGTTTATCAAAACTCATACCAAAACACTTATCGCTTAACCCCCAGCACTTGGCACTCACAACACTCAAAACCCCCAAGACGCTCCAGACATTAAGAAATTCAAAACATTCAAACACACAGATGCTCAAAATACTCAAACACTCAACGCTCTAATCACTTATCATTAAAAGTTCAAAACCAAAACACTAGAAAGCCCAAGACGCCCAAAAAACTCGAAACACTCAAACTCAAACACCCAAGCATTCAAATACACGAACAGTCAAACACTAAAACGCTCAAACACTTAACAGCTGATACACTCAAGCTCTAAATCGCTCCAGCACTCACACACTCTAACACTCAACACTCACAGATTCAATACACTAAAAACACTAAAAACACTAAAACACTAAAAACACTAAAAACACTAAAAACACTAAAAACACTAAAACACTAAAACACTAAAAACACTAAAAACACTAAACTAAAAACACTAAAAACACTAAAAACACTAAAAACACTAAAAAACTAAAAACACTAAAAACACTAAAAACACTAAAAACACTAAAAACACTAAAAACACTAAAAACACTAAAAACACTAAAAACATTAAAAACACTAAAAACACTAAAAAACAGTAAAAAATACTAAAAACACTAAAACACTAAAAACACTAAAAAAACACTAAAAACACTAAAAACACTAAAAACACTAAAAACACTAAAAACACTAAAACACTAAAAACACTTAAAGCACTAAAAACACTAAAAACACTAAAAACACTAAAAATGCTAAAAACTCTAAAAACACTAAAACATTCGAAACACTCAAAACACTCGAAACACCCAAAACACTCAAACATTCAATACATTCCAAACACTCCAAACCTTCAAAACACTAAAGACACTCAAAACACTCGAAACACCCGAAACACCAGAAACACCAGAAACACCTGAAACACTCGACACACGCAAGACACTCCAAGCACTCAACACAGAAGACACTCAAAACTTCAAAGCTCAACACTGAATCACTCAAAAAACTGCACTCAGCACTCAAAGCTATCAACACTCAATGTTAAGCACAAAAACGGCGTTTACGCCATGGTGCTTCATGTTTACAACGAAAGGGAACAGTAATTTGGTCACAATTTAGTTAGATTGATGTTAGTGTATGAACAACCTAATTTTGTTTTTATCACCAAATCGCTGAAACCTGCATTACGACTATTCCTACTCATTGATGTATATTGTTTACCTTTCAGCGCTCATTCGCCGGAGTCGAACCACAACGAGCACCCGAAGAAGGTTCCAATCACTCCATCGCGTTCCATCAGATCCAACATCAACTACACATTCAACCATGTTCATGAGCCTCTTACTCCAACGAGGTCTGCCAGTTTGTGTCGATCTGGGCTTCCCATACGATCCAGGTAGGTTTTTAGTCGTATTCTGTAGAATACTGTTAAGAGCGTTGTATTTAATAACACCTAGTATATTTCTCGAAATTCAAACAGCGTACAAACCCAGATAACACTACAACAAATATAGTTTTTCTTCTCAAATGGTATTTTTTCGTACTTAAATATTATATTAATTTGAAAAAAAACTATATGACGAATGATCTCACTTCAATATCCAACAAAAATCTGCAAGCATTTCCGGCGGTCATTTTCTCTGGTATTCATTTTTCATCGTCATGATGCCTTGATGGAACCTTTCCCCGCGCTAGCAGCTACCGCACCCAAGTTTTTGGGGAAAAGCTAGATGGGAATCAACGAAATGAGTCTTCAAAGACATATTACATCCTAATATACAGGGTGTGGCGTAAAGAGTGGATAACTTTTAGCCTGCAGTTAGAGGATTTCATAACGATTCAAAAAATTGAAAATTCTGTCTAGAAAAGCTGCACGGTTTTCAATTTTTGTGACGTTTTTCAAATTTGGAGAAAATTGGCACCTCCACTCACTGTTTCAACTCTCGTGATAACACATGAAGGGATTTTCTCATCATTTTTTCAACATAATATTCTTGGAATCATGTGTCATATAATATATACTAAGTGACATATAAATCTGAACACCCAGTTTAAATGATTTTATTTTAATAAAATCTTGTATAAGTACTGAATGAAGCATAATAAGTAAATGATAAAAATTTCAAAATGATTGCACTGCTTTAAAGCCCTTTAACCTTTAATAATGTGTGGATGCACCCTGATGTGCTACGAATTCTCCAAAGCGCCTAGGCATGCTTCTGATCAGGTGGTCAATATCCTCCTGTGTTATCTCATTCCAGGCAACCACCAACTCCTCTCGAAGTGCTTCTAGAGTCTGAGGAGGACGTTGCAAATTGAGCAATCACCTACCCATCATATCCCACACGTGCTCAATTGGGGATAAGTCGGGAGATCTTGGTGGCCATAGTAACAATGTGACATCATTATGTTGAAAGAAGTCTATTGTGACTCTTGCAACATGTGGTCGGGCATTATCTTGTTGGAAAGTTGGATCTGCCAGGGTGTCAAGATAGGGTAAAAGATGGGGTTCTAGAACTTCGTGGATATAACGCTGCACGTTCATGTTACCTCTGATGAAGATTAAAGGTGACCTGGAACCATAAGCTATAGCACCCCAAACCATAACTCCAACAGTGTGATGAACATGTCTTTCAACAAAAAACTGTGGATTCCTCCTTTCACCACGTCGCCTTCTAACCCTGGCACGACCATCGTGCATGCCTAAACAAAATCGAGACTCGTCACTAAAGACAATACTGTTCCATTCCTGATCCCAGAGTGACCGTTGTCTGCACCACTCAAGGCGATTACGTCGGTGTTCTCGAGTTAAAGGGAGGACCCAGTGTGGCCGGTATGAAAACAAGCCAAAACTTCTCATTCGTCGGTAAACACTTCGCATGCCAATAGGTCTTCCGTGTTCTGCAAACCATTCATTTGCAATGGACCTGGTAGTGGAGAAACGGTCCCTTAAGGCCAATAATCTTAGGCGGCGATCTTCACGGTCTGTTGTTCTACGGCGGCGTCCAGTGCCCCTTGCTCTTTGCGTACAGCCTTCTCGAAGCTATGCCTGACAACACCTAACCACAGTGTCTACAATTCTTTGCACTCTAACTGCAATTGCCCGAAAAGAAAGTCCAGCTTCCCGAAGTCCCACTATACGGCCCCTATCAAACTCACTAAGTTGACGAAATCGTACAGGTCTCCGTACTCTAGGCATCGTAACCGATCGTAAAAGATGTCAAGAACCAAAATCCGCCAACGTTAATTCTTTACTGCGGCTGAAATATTCATTGTTAGAGCGTTAGTGAATTAAAAAAAAGCAGTATAAAAACCGGAATGTCCAACTGATAAGGCTGAAAATTTTTTCACTTGTTATTTACAGTAAGATAAATACATTCACCAACTTTTATTAAAATAAAACCATTTAAACTGGGTGTTCGGATTTATATGTCACTTAGTATACATTGTAAGCGTTATTTCCTTCTATCTGTTTCAGTTTCAAATTCCAATTCTCGTCCCGCCCCGAATCGCTCCATCTGGACGCCTCCATGCTGAACTACGAACCAGCGTCGAGAGTCTCATCGTTCCGGCGCGAGACGAAGACCGCCCAGACCCTGAGCATCGTGATGGGCGGTTTCATAGCCTGCTGGCTGCCCTTCTTCATCTTCTATCTGCTAACGCCCTTTATCACGACCAACGAAACAACGACACTCATCATGTCCTACCTGACGTGGTTAGGCTGGATCAACTCCGCCATCAATCCGTTCATCTACGCGTTCTACAGTCCTGACTTCCGAATAGCCTTCTGGAGACTGACCGTGAAACACTTCTCGAACAACAGAAGGGCCGACTTCGCGTCTCAGCATAAATGAGACAGGGGGACTATCAGGTTTGCACCTCAGGAAGCAGCCGTTTGAAATTAGCGAAGGCTTGCGGTTGCACAGATTCGCGACAGTGAAGCACTTTAAATGTCAAACGCCTCTTGATGCTGTCATAGAAACTCATGCTACTAGTACGTTGTGATGTACAGGGTGGCCAACTAAGAATGCGAAGTTCTGTATCTGGGAACGTACCTATCCATCGCATAGGCTTTCGGCAAAAACGGTTAAAACGGCCTAGAGAAAAACCTGGAAAATATTTTGAAGCTTCTTAAATGGGCGTAACTGCAATCTTGAATCTAAAAAAGTGATGTTTCTGTGAATTCCGGTATATATAAAACTAACAAAAAAATATCTGATCTTTAGAGTCGAGAAAGTTATCGTGGGGTTCTTCTAGAAAGTTGATTTCTATATCACTCTCCTCGTTCGGTTGGATCAACTATGTAATCAATCCGGTTTATAAGCTCTACATTCCCGACCTTGCGAATAAGATTTCTGATACAGTGCCCTGTAGGTTCCTGAATAAGGATATTTTTTATGAACTGGTGAGCAACTGTACGCCGACTAGCGACGGCGGTTCCGAAAGCTACTGAGCATCTGGGCGCGTTACCGCCTCTTTGGTGTGAACGCTTCTATTTGAATACATGTGCGGTCACATTGCAGTTCCCGGATGCCTTTGGTGAGAAGAGTCTCTAATATTACTTCTACATGAATCTTCCATGTAGATATAGTAAGCACGAACTGTAGAAAAATACAATAGGCTACTTGACTCATATCTAAGTTCATACTCAATGAGTATTTCTTACAGTATTAATTTGCTTTAGTAGAACGAAATACAGGGTGGGGCAGAGGAACTTGCTGATTTGAATTGGGCGCCCTAAAGTGGCGGTTACACTCATGGAAGTGGGGATAGGTAGATTCGTAAAGTTTTCGCGCCGCGTGGTGTAGTCACTATCATGTAGCCACAAAGCACATGAGACTGAAGAAGTGGGAGCTGTACACTAAACAATGGCAACACCGTTGACGTTTTGTCAGATGGTTGCGCCGCCTACTTGCCTGGAGATCTGGAGGAACTATCGAAAGAATGCCGAGAATGCGCCTGGAATAAGGAATGCTAGGAATGTGCCGGGCTGCCCGGGATTTCGTTTGTTCATAATTTGAAATCTGCTGAAAATGATATTTTCGATACTGAAGGACTATTTCATGAACATTATTATTCTAAAAATCCCCAATAAGGGTAATATGTCTTTCAGCAATTTTACTGAGAAAAAGGTTCAGCATAATAAAATCTAACAATAATAATTATGAACCACCAAATTTATTTAGTTTCACTTCATTGTACCGCTTCTTGATAATTCTGAAACAATACAGAGAACACTAATTTAATTCATAATTATTTGTAAATAAGCTAGTCACTTTTCATTTACTTGCTCAGTTCTATCCCTTCAATTTGTTGGCCATTCATACTTAATACAACGTCGCCAACTACAAGGATTATAAAGAGGCTGAATCTAGACATGCAATTTTAAATAAATAATCTACCAAATACAACATGCCGATATGTAAAGTTCACAGCCTACCTGGAGCACTTTATGCAATCGATTCTTTCATGGATAACCAACTGAAGAAAACAAGTACGCAGTCAGGCAGACCAAGAAGCGCCTCACATGCATTTTCTCGAACAACAAATTTGCGCGGATCACTTTTATGCACTATGGCCAATTTATACTGATGGAACCTTTGTTCTTCGTGGGGGATGCGTCTCACAGAGCGAGCAGATATCCGAAGTTCAGCTTCATGTTTGCGGATAGAGCGCCGACGGAATCGCAAAACAGAACGCCTTACCATATCAATATTGCGCTGCGACCTTACTGTTCGTGGAAGGACAGGTTTTTTTCACATCACCAGTCTCCCTAAAGTTGCTTACCCATGAAAGAATCGATTACCGGCCAGGAACAAGTCCACGTGGCGCGATAGTGAAATGAGTACGGAATGCACGTTGCGTGGCTATGATCGGGACCATTAGAGAAGTAGGCCTCGACGGCGAACGAGCGTTCCACCTTCGTCCACTACATGATAGTGACTACACCACGCGGTGCGAAAACTTCACGTAGGTATTACTTTATCGAATCTACCTATCCCCACTTCCATCCCTCACTTTAGGGCACCCAATTCAAATCAGCAAGTTCCTCTGCCCCAGCCTGTATGTCGATTTCGATTTTTAAACGCGCAAAATGGACATATAAGTCCAGTGCAGTCTTTAAGGCCTGCAGAAAATATAGTTTCAATTTTTGGTCTAATAGAACAAATATTATATAAAGGGTGTCCAATAAGTCCCACGATAAACTTAAGGAGATGGTAGGCTTTGGACTGACCTCCGAAATAACAAAAAGTGTCACGGTTTTTGAGATATTGAATTTTTTCTTAAATTTAAAAAAACGAACATTTTCATCTGTGGTCTTGAGCTGCATGTACAAATAAGGTTATACTTTCTTCATTTTTTCTATAAAATATTTCTAGACAGTTGCTTTATCATATACAAACGCAATGTAGTTAAAATATATTAAGGAACCATGATAAAATAAGGACTGTTTTGGGATTTATAACCTTCGGATATTCTTTCATCAACTTTCATAAAATCATATCAGGAGCAGGTAATAATAATGTAGCTTTGTACTATTTAGCATGTCACTGATCGGTAACCAGTGCAGCTTGAATTTAATCCCAATAATTACATTGTAGTGTGGGTCAGTCACTTACAAAAGCAGCTATCACTTTTGAGCAATATTTTTATTCAATATAATGCAGTTATAGCTCAGTACATTTTTTTTCACCACAGATGGTCAAAGTTGAGGAAAAATATCAGAATAGTCCTTATTTGATCATGGTTCTTTAATATGTCTTAACTACATTGCATTTGTCTAAGATAAAGCAACTATCTAGAAGTATTTTGTAGAAAAAATGAACAAAGTATAACCTTATTTGTACATGCAGCTAAAGACCACAGATGAAAAGGTTTGTTTAATTAAATTTAAGAAAAAATTCAATATCTTAAAAAACGGTGACACTTTTATATAGGTAATTTTTTGTTATTTGGGAGCTCAGTCCAAAGCCTACCTTCTGCTTAAGTTTGTCGTGGTACTTATTGGACATCCCTATATATAAGACCTTCTTAAAAAATGTCAACTAGCCTATTTATTCATGAATATTCCTCCGAGAAATACTCTTATTCAACAGTATTCGTAGCGATACAACGCAATTTTCTGCTTTGATAATGGAAGTTACGAAATTCGCAGACAGATCATTATTTGCGGAGTAAATAGACCCTGTAAGTAAATTTACCATCATAGGCCGTTTGCGTACTGGAAAGCTGAATAATCTCATAATTTGAACAAAAATGTTGAACTTGACGTAACCTAGTTTTTCTTTGTATGTCCAGTAATCTAGTCATAAAACTGATAAAATAGACTGTTTAATTGTAAATGCTTTAACTTCTTGCATATTTTAAGTGAATTAGATAGTAGATATTTATTTTGTACATATTGTTTTTATATAAGATATCCATTTACACATTTCCGCTAAAACTGTAGACTTACTAGCTTTAAAGGAATATCCTGTTGCGTGTTCTTCTTCTTCTCTCTATGAGCTTGTATATGCAGAGTTATTCAAAAACAAAGAAATTATTTTTAGGGCAGAAAGTACCTAGACCAAAAAATAATACCCTTCCGAAAAGCGCGGTAAAGTATATCAATGCGTAGGTGCGTATTTGCAAGTCATGTTATCATTACATCTAAGATATATTTTTACTATGTTTCAAAGTTCTTTCTGTTCTATAAATACTACCATTTATTATTTTATTTATTATTTATGAAAATCACTTCCTACTCAAAAATCATAGAGTACTTAAGACACGTCGATTTTGTAAATATTCAAAACTTTATGCGTTTGTAGCAAGATGGAACCTTAGGTTATAGGTGTATATAATTATGTCTACCAGCTATATTTGAATGTATATTTACACTATGAATTAAAACATTTTCATTAATTTTGGACACTTATTTTGTACAATAAAAATTTTAAAGTGTACTGCATTCTTTCTTCTATTTCCTTCCTCTGCATAGTTCTGCAGTTATATTTAAGTTCCTGATGACATCGGGGGACTGTTATCAATTGTAGTTGTTCATAAAAGGCGAGTGAGGCATCTATTTGTATTTTCACATTGGATATTGTCTTCTTCCAGTCTTTCTGGGGAAACTGAATGTCTTCACAGCATGCTAGGTAAGTTATGCATACTCAACTGCTATCCCGTCTCAGAAATATATAATTATGGTCGGTGACTTAATTGCCAATGATTTGGCAGTTAACTGGCAATCTCCAGCTACCTTTATCTGCCAGTTAAATATGTCAATCTTAGGGGAAATCTCATTCACTCATCATTTAAAAAAATCACTTCGAAAATCACGTTATGCTTTTGTAGAAACGTATAAAATAGGTGTATATAATAAATGTATATCTACCATAAATATTTAAAAGTATATTTACACTGCAAATTAAAACATTTTCAGTGATTTTGCACAATAAATATTTGGAAAGTACACTATGTCCTTATTAAAATTTCCTCTTCCTCCTAGGTTTTCTAGGATCACTTCCCTCATTGTCCTGGGACGAACCTTTTTCTGACTTCCTATTCCATTCTTTCTTGAGTTCTTGCAACATCGTTGGGGTTAAAATACCTTGCGCTAAGAGTCGTTCTGTCAGTCTGCCCCTTCCAATGCCTGACAATTTCGGTTCTGGAATAGACAATATTAGTCTTGTCTTAAAAAAAAATTAATTATACAGGATGCGCCAGAATGAGCGATGTAAGTATTTCAGATGCGTATAGAACACCATAAACAGGGTGACCCAACGAAGCTAGGTCGGAGTATGTCTCCAAACAAAAAGTTTTCAAAGAAAACTATTTATGGATTATTAGACCTGGCAAGCGTTGAAGTTCTTCCAGAATATTTACTGCTGCATCATGATACACCAATTCTTTCAAATAGCCCCACAGAAAAAAAAAAAGCAAGGCGTTAAATCCGGGGAGCGAGCAGGCCAAGAAATTGATCCGTTGCGCAGTATCCATCTATTCGGAAACATCATTTAAATGTTCATGAACTTCTCGTCTAAAATATAGTAGAGCCCCATCATGTAGGAACCACTTACTCACATTTGGAGGAACATCTTCTAATAGTCGTAGTAGATTGTGTCGAAGAAAATCCTTTAAGAGACTTGCTCAAACATTCTGGAACATCCTGTGTTACAGCGTACGTGCTATTTGAACGTACCTCTCAAATAATGCTGCTTCTGTCTATTCATCACAAACTGATCGTCATCAGCTACTGCTGTACCAGAGCTAATACCAGTCTCGGAATTTTTGAGCAATTTGGTGAGTTGAACAATACCTTCTTGAATGATCTGGTCTAATTCGCGTTGCATATCTCTAACTAGATCCGGTTGATTGAACATATCGCTGAATCGGTAACTGTAAAAGACATTCAGGTCACAAAAAATACCTGTCTATTTTAGGTGGTACCTTAAGAGCTACCAACATTTAACTACTATGATTTTTTGAGGACTAAAAAAAATGCATTAGATATATCGCTCAAACGCAAACAATCCCGAGAATCGGGCTTCCCCATTCCATGCTACGAACTTTTCTGCAATTTCTTCGTTAGTAAAAATCACTAGGGTCGAATTTTGCCAGTTGTGATGTGTACCCAATAAGTACTTAGGGAATTAAATATATATATATACATATTGCCCGTGTGTCATTCAGAGGCCCCGCAGTTCAATTATGCAACGCCAAAAAAAAAATTAAGATGAAATCATGCATATACTCAGGTCCAAAATTATACCATAACTTACCATCATACATAAGAAAAAACCAAATGTTAAGAAAAATCTACAAGGATGACTATCAAATACAGATACAAACATTATATAATTTATGAGAATTCTGCCAAATGCCAAGAAACTACCTAGAATTTGTTAGAGTAATTTGTATTTTTTGTGTATTTATCTTGGCAATAAAACCGATTTATTATTATAATTATTATTATTTAATACTAACCTCAGCCATAAGTATAGGTCCAAAACGTCGAAAACAGCTTCTAAATGAACTAAATCTATTATTGTTTTTGCTGGTTGTAATGGCCAACCTATATTCCTGCACAACCAGTCAAACGATATTGACTCGTTTTTACTGTACTGTCGACAGAACTAAAAGAAACAATCACTCATTTCATTTCCGGTAAGCTAACGTAACATTAACTTACCTTTAGGAACATCGTACACACAAATGGCATCTTTTTATTGATTGGAGCACAGCAAAATATGTATCGTGACCTTAGAGACAGAGGAACGTGCTGAATCATGTCGGCTAGGAATTTAAAGTCTTCAATATTGCACATGAAGTACAGTGAATCATCAACTGTTGAAAGGTTCACGAATATATCCTGAAAGAAAAACGGTAATTAGGGCAAAATATCCACTCAATTTGTGACGCGCAACAGTGTCACATCGTAAAACACCCGAGTGTTAAACATTGTCGAATGATACTATCATTGAATGAGTAGGTAAACCAGAAGATACGAGCAGAAAAGAGTTCGAATGTTAACAGAAAAAATTAGTTGGAAGATCGAAACAGATAAAAGCGTTATTAGTCATTGTTTTGGAATCAGATGATCAGACACTTTTGGTCAAAACATGGTATTACCCTGCACTCTAGCAGTTTCACGTCCCTCCAATTAAATGGATTAAAGAAAATTATGATAATAAGCTTAAAGGTCAAAACAAGTTCTGGTATGGATCAAATTCCTCCCAGACTGTGAAAATCTAATACACCACATATTCTGCTACAGCTGAATCATATAAAAAATGTTTCCTTAAGCAGAGGGATTTTTTCTGATCTGTTGGAGGTAGCTCTAATTATGCCTCTTCACAAAAAGGGAAATTTGGAGGATATAGAAAAGTTCAGACAAACATTACTCCTATCAGAATTGAGCGTATATACAATTATTACTGACTTTGCTGTAAGTTTCAACATTTTATCTGACACCCAGCATGGTTTCAGGCATAATAAGTCTGTGGAGACGGCTACCTCTGACCTTTTAAGTTATATCTATTCAGATCTAGATCAGTGTAAGTCTCATGTTCAATTTATTGAAAAGTTTATTGAATAAGGACATAATACTAGACAAACTACATTCACTTGGTCTTAGAGGCCTTATTTTAAACTGGATCAAATCATATTTATAGAACAGAAGTAGTATAGTAAGAATTGATAGATTAATGTCAGACAGAAATCCAGTTTACCTTGGTGTACCGCAAGGATCAGTGTTCGGACCACTGTTATTCATACTTTTCGTAAATGACCTTCCAAATTTCATTTCGAACGGTAAAGTCACAATGTTTGCGGGTTCTGACAGTTCTGTTGACGAACTTTATAAGAACATCTTGATAGTTTTGAAGAGATGGAGGATTGTTGTGCACAATAAAAATAAAACTACTGCAACCAATTTTCACATTTAAGCAAATTATTCCTTCAGTCACCACAACAGCTTTAAATAATCAACTTGGATTGCAGTTGGTAGACAGTGTTGAACTCCTTGGTAGCTGGTTTGATGCAGATTTGATTTTTGATCTTTGATAATCAATATTTGCTGCAATTTAAGCAAAACCTTCTTTGTGTTATTGAAACAATATTTAGATGATAAATATCTATTAACTATTTACTATGCATTTGTAAATAGCCACCATATAATATTATATGCTGCGGTACAGCGACTATACTATAACTATCTAAAACTGTAATGACTCATCGATGTTCACGTGAACATCACTTAACTACCAGTAGTCGGCTGTTCATAGGCGGGGTATGAATGTTTAACATGGGTGAACTAGATTTGTCACATGCTTAATAAAGAGTGGTTTGAAACATATTGTAAGTCAAAAATTTGGGAATTACCTTTATTCATCGTTGCTTCCACTTACATCTGACAGTAATAAACTGTCGCTATCGCTTTCCTCGTTGAAATTGACTATAACTGGCTCTATGATGGTGTCAATGTGGTGGTCAAGCTGCCACATTATTGTTTCTTCCTTCACAACATGACGGATAGCATTCTGCCAAGCTTCGGGCGTTACTAGCTGTATGGAAGTCTCAAGTAAAACCTTAACGTCTGTTAATTTGAAGGTTGTGTTATGGCGCGCAATATAACCCTTCCTTGAGCCCAGATGAGCTCTATTGGGTTCAGTTCACAGTGGTAGGGCGGTAACCGCAGCACAGTGACACCACATTGACGGGCCATCTCATCAGTCACGTAACTAATGTTCGCAGGTTTGTGCTGTTTAATTTTTTCATACAATTCCGCTTTCACACATGAATCGTCAAACGGGATTCCTTTTTTGCGCAACCATTGCTGCATGTCACTTTTTCGAGATCCCATAGTCGGTACACGTTCGGCTCGACGACTATGGTAGGAAGCATTATCCATGACGATCACAGAGTTGGGCTCAACTCGCTAAAGCACCCCTTGAAACCAGCTATCGAAGCAGCTGGCATTCATTTCGTCATGGTAATCACCTCCTTTCTTAGAGACGAAAATCAAGTCACGCTCTTCTAAAAAGTCACTATCGCTACCAATATGAGTTACGATCAATCTTTGACCTTTCCCTGACGGTCCACGAAGACCTGTTGACAAACCTTCAATGCTTGCTTGTCGGTTACTCACTACGTTTTTTTCTATCCAGGTTTTTTTAACTGTGTGACCTGCATTTACCCATGTCTCGTCCAAATAATAGATTTTTCTGCTTTGTCGCCTATATTCAATCATTTCGCGTAGGTATTTTCGACGCCAGGCGACTATTTCAGGTCTCTCTATCAATACTGACTTCCGATTACGCGTTTCGTAACGAAAATTAATTTCGTGCAGGGATTTCCTCATTACCTCGACGCTCATTTGGGGCATAATTTCATTTTCCTTGATCGCTGCATGTACAGCCTTGAGGGTTGGTATCTCATTCCTAAAGAAGAATGAATGTACGGTTCGCCTTAACGCCATTTTGCTATCGTCATCCAATTTAACGGCCTTTCGTCCCTTCAAATTAAACGTTGGATCAGTAGTAGCTCCAGTTTTCTTCTTTCATGCACCACCCTGCGAATGGTCCACTCTGGAATGCTTGTCATACTTTCACAACGCGCGAGTGCATCTCCCTGCGACATAGTTCTGTTCAGATAATTGAACACGTTGAGCACGATTTCTTTCGCGTCCCTCTTCAGTGCTTTACGAAGCCGTCTACTTGTTCCCTGGCTTTCAGTACTTCCACTCGTGCCATTTGTACTCTCCATGGTTAAGTATAACCAAAACAGTAACCACAGAAACCACAACAATAACAATCACACAACAATTCTTATAAAAACACACAATATGCGATCGCTCAACGAAACACGTTCCACTGCGTTGCCGACGCCTATGAGTCTGCCGGTCGAGGCGCGTCTTTGATTTCATTGGTTCTACCGGCGGAGAACAATCAGCCATTATTTCCATCTCTGTCTGTGCTGTTGACCACCACAAAGCCACAGAAACGACATATGTCGTACGCTATACGGCTGTACTGGAAGGAAGCCGGGATCGAGCTCTGATCACGTGTTGATCACGCGTATGAGTCATTACAGTTTTAAATAGTTGTAGTATAGTCCCGAACAATCATCTTATCATTAATTTGTATGGATGACTATTTGATAGTCAAAATTTACTTGCTGGAGATAAGCGAATAGTTTAGTATAACGATTGACTCGCTACCGGCGAGAGTTGAGTAATATGGATATGATACATCAACAATACTATATAATCATTGAATAACGTATTGCAGCTGGTGGCATGTCTTTTCTCTCAAGTTATTGTTTATCAATTCACACTTACCATTAAGTTGCTCAGAGTTGAATTCGGCAGATGATATGCATATAGCTCAATTTGATCAGCAGTTGGGTGTAGGCCAGCTTGGGTTATGGGTTCTGGTTGAGATGATAATAAAACTTTTAGTGTGTTTAGATCTTCAGGCTTGAAGGTTGTTACGTAACCTGTCTCCCACTGAGTACCATATCTGAAATATACCGGGAGATTCTAAAAAAACAATGACACTACTTCTAGGCGCTAGGTAGGTCCAAAAATAAAATGATATCATATAAACTTAGGTGTCGTCGTAACTCCTAGATTTGACCACACGGAAACGAAATTTGATGGGCATTTAAGCATTTGTAGAACCATTTTAAAATTACTCAGCTCCCATTGCCGAAAGATTTTTCAAAAACGTAGGATCATTCTATCCATTTACCTTCCAGCTCTACCAGCTATCTGCAAAGCAGACGATACACTGATTGTATCCATCTCCTTCTCACCCTTTTCATTCATTATAGGCTTTATTAGAGAATAAAATATCATCCTTCTTATACTCCTAAAACAATCAAAAATTAATGGTCGTGAAACTTCGTTCAAATTATTACGCACAAATTAAGTCCCATACCGATAGCGTCGGTTGCTACTAAAATTTTGCAACTACTATCCGGGTCATTGAACTTAGCTGCCTGAGCTAATTTGGTGCCAGGTGGCAAGCCACCATAGATTACTGCTACTTCCCTTCCAGATGCTTCAATGGTTCTGGATACTGAGTAGATGTCATTTTTACTGAAGCATACTATGCAGTCCCCAGGCAAAACATTGTCAAGTGATCCTGAAAATATATTTTAATACAATTAAAATTCGGAATAGGCACTGGACGGAGAAGAGATTTTATGGAATCAAAGTGAGAGATACCTAAAGCAGAGTCCTCAACTTTGAGTGACGTCAGCCTTTTGTAATGTCTAACTTCTAAATCTTCACCGGTTGTTAGGGTCAATTGTCGAACAAGGTCTACTGCTCCTGCTTCTCCACAAAGATGTATCTCCTCTGCCATGATTCCAAGAAGAGCTCTCGTCCAAGCCCAACCTCTCTGTGGGTCTTTGATCATTTGGATTTCATCGATTATAGCTACCTCATCTAAAAAAGATCAAAAACTAAAGTTATAGCATTATCATTGTTTTCTATGTTAGTTGAACTGGTGAGGACAGTATAATATAAAAAACATTTACCACAAAATAATACAACTTATTTTGAAATTTTATAAATCTTTTTCCTTTTTTCTACTATACACTTCAGAGCATAAAAAAGTTTTTCCCAAAACAGTTTAACATAAATTGGTAAATATGATATCCTGCATCTCAAAAATTAGTGTCAAGTAGATTTTGGGTGAAAAATAGGTCAAGAAATAGTTATCCTGGGCTACCTGTGAATACTAGAACTGAATTGACATTGAATTCGGCATCTATGCGCCCGATTTACCTATAAAACAAGCTTCCATCTAGATCGTAGACCCGCAACACTTATTGTAGATTTTTTATTAGTGGTTTTTGGCAAAGTAAAATTCCTGCGAGTATCTCGTAAACGAGGCATTTCCGAACTGAATGGATTCGGTTTTAGCGACACAAAAAAATCTATAATAAGAATGGTTGGGCTCACGTTCCCGACTGACCCATTGTTTGCCCGTTTTATAACAATACCTAAACATGGTAACTAAAAATTAAAATGCTTTAAATGAAATTTAAATGACCTCTATTGTGCGTGTTTTGGGTCGCTAAAACCGAATCCGAAGTCGTTTCGTATGTATCTGATCCGTTTATCATTAGGTATAATTATTATAATTAGGCAGCAGCGGTGGCCGCAGTAGTCTGACTCTTCGGTCTCCTGATCAGTCGCCGTGCGCTGTGCGGGTTCGAGTCCCGTCCCAGGAGAAATTTTTCTCTTGGCTATGGATATTGTGATTGTCCGTAGGTGGTAGACGGTCTCTGACTGTCGAACGTGGAGGTACCACCCGGCGGATCTCGTAGGCAGAGCCAGAATGTGTGCATGTTGCATGCACACGTGTTCCCTCGCCAGAGTCCGTGTGGCGTTCCCCCTTTCCCCTGTATCACCCTATAGCCCCACGGTACCCAATGGGTGTTTAGGCCTTAGGCCTTCGTGGTAGTTGGAGTATAAAAAAAAGAAAAAAAATATTTGGCGTAAAATTGCATTTTGCGTTTTTGAGCTGCTAAAAAATTACCTTTATTATCGATGGCTATATGTGAGCGAAACTTTGCACAGCAAGGTTATTTGGGATGCTGAATACGAGTATCATAGTGAAAAAATTCTAACGTGTCAGTGGACCGGATTTGGGGTGAAAAATTCGTAAAAAACTGGTTATCCTGGGCTACTCGCGAATCCTAGCACTGAATTGACTTGTAATTAGAAATCTACGCACCCAATTTACCTAGAAAACAAGCTTCCATCTAGCTCATAGTCGCGCAACAGTTCTTGTCATTGTGTGTACCAAAATATTGTGTTATCTGGAGCTACCTTTTATTATGTGATTCAAGTCAGTCTGAAACTTCATTTGCAACTTACATGGATTACTTAGAGAGGTCATCTCAACAGTACATGAAACATGACCCGAAGGATTTCCAGCTGGGTCTGCGTAACTCCTCTCCTCTCCTGTAACTAAATCACATGGGGTACCCTATAAAAAACTTCCTTATTCTTCCAATTTACAAATGAATGAACTGATATTACCCTAGTATTACACTTATTAAAAACCTCATTGGCTAACAGTTTCAATGGCCCACAGTACACTCCGGATTTGGCAGTAAGAAACCTTTCCAGGGCATGGTAAGTCTTTCCAGAGTTTGTGGGACCAGCATGGAAAATGACCTTTCTGTTCATAGCTCTGGCTTGCGGGTACCAGTTAGCAGGTGATCTCAGATCTGATATCTTCCTCAAGTCATCCATACAATCCAAATGGGGAAACATTAACTTAGCATGTCTGAGAAAGTATGGGAACAGATCCGTCTCATTCCCTGCTCCTTGTAAGATGTCACTGAACACAACATGAATATCTACAGGCAAGTTTTGTGCTTCTAAGCAGAATCTTCGGAAACTAACGTATGCCTGATGTTGCAGATAATCTAAAACATGCAAACTGTTTGTTTCGAACTGCAGCAGCTTCAAAATAAAGTAATGTCAAAATAATTCTTGAGTCATAAATCTTCATAGTGCTGTCTTAATGTCTTCCCAGCGTGTTCATTTATTGAAGTGGTCAAGTCATCAAGTTAGAATTCAGTTTACTGAAACCAATGCATAAATACTATATCTTAGTGTAAAACAGTTGAAAAAAAGTGAAGTCTACGAGGTCTGTAAATTAAGTGATAAGACTGGCAACGTAGCTTTCGATCTGGCAACACTGGAAGCGCCAGGCTTAAAAGCGGCGGAATAAGTTCCTATTTGCGGAACTTTTCAGAAAGAAGGATTTATTTTCCAAATTTTCTAATATTTACTGAAAGAAATACCAGCAATACCGTAAAAATACTTTCGATTTGAGCCTGAAACAGTTCAACATCTCAAAAATTATACTCTGTTAATGCTGTGCTTATTTGAAAATATGATTTATTAAAATGGCAAAATATTCACAAGACATCCTTTTTGCATGAAAAATCGGAACGTTTAGGCAACCTTGCATGGAACTTTTGCAACCCAAGTGTTGATGACACTTGATCCTCCTTCAGTACAAGTTTGAACTCGCTCGGGTCATTTTGTTCCAAACATGAGTGACATCACTTGGGCACATTGCAATAGAAACTCTTGCTAAACTTCAGCAGGGCTAGGGAGACAGTGTTTTGTCAAGTGGCTTATGGCATTTTCTGAAAGGAGAGAGTCGTTTGAAGATGAATCATGAAGCAGGACACCTTCATCTTTAAGAACCGATCAAAATATTGATAGAATTCAGGATCTTGTAGTTCAGATTATCGATTAATAATCAAAATGATTGGGTAAGAGTTAGATGGCCCCAAAATAGGACTCCAAGGACCTATAAGCATGAAAAATTGTATTTCAGAGAATACTATTGTTAGCATACTAGCTGCTTTACTGAGCACTAAGGTAGAACAATAAGTAGAGCCCAAACAGTGCTACCAGATCAAAAATGCTGAACAAACCAGACTAGATGTTTAAAAAGCTGTAAATAAATAAATAGTGTGAAGGGAGCTTTTCGCTGTTTTTGAGTTCCAAATTTTGCTTTGATCGTGAGCCCCTTCACTGTAACTCTACAGATAATAAAAATACAATGTACAATGCTATTTAACTAGCACTTCAGAAATATGCTCATATAGTATATTAGACTGACTATGCAGCATGACTCACTATCCAATCCATTCTCCATGAGCAGATGCTTGATTTCCCTATTTTGGTAAAACTTATTCAACACTTTCAACAAATCAGATTTATTTAAGGTCCCTGTTAATTCCTCGCCAACATTTATGTCGTCTGGCGTTGATTTGACTTGAACAGGGATAAATAAGGAAGATATAGATGAATCGTCCTTTTTCCCTCGAATTTGAAATTGAAACGCACTAGTACACTTTGCACCATTTCTAATGGTAATATGTGATGAGTTTAAATGGAAACTTTGGAGAGCTGCACATAAATATCTGAACCGTCGACTGTTCTGTAACATGCTGTTTGCAAAAACTAAAATTAACGGAAAATAAATTTAAATGAAATCATAAAGCTGGGTACGAACGTGAGTTTAGAAATTTTTAAGGTTATGTCTGACTTTGACGATCTTGACACTTATTTTGTGGTGCTTGTCATAGAAAACAGAGCCACAAGAGCTTAAGCTCCTTATCCAGACGTACATAAGCCGCCATATTCAGTCATCCGAATTGAGTAAATCCATTATTTAGGAATTACCTAAATCATTGCACAATATAGTAACGCCAAACAAGAAACCTTTCGTTCACAATTCAAAGCCGCTCCACACCCACGCTAAAATCTCGGCGAGAACTTCTTTGGGTCCACACTCGCAAAGTTCTCGTGCTCGATGACGATGAACGCAGTATTAAATGTCGTCGACACCAGCCCCAGATGTTTCCGATTTCTTGACTTTACTTTTATACCCTCTGTAGCTGGCTAATAACGATTTTTTTTATTTTTAATTTTTCAATGAGTAATTCCATCAAGGTGCTAATTCTCAGCTCTTTTGTCTCGCGCCAAAAAAACGACAAAAATCGGAGAACAAGCCAAGAACCTGCGAAGATTATGAAAATCGGTTCCACGTTCACATTTCTCATGTTTTCCACGCGTTCTGGCGAGATTCTCGTATCAGTGTGGAGAGGCTTTTAGAAATAAAATTACGAATAGCAAAAAAAAAGAAAAAGCAAACCGCACGGGTATTATGTAAAAAACCTATAAAACGTCAACAAAAATCTATAAGATGTCAACTTGCAGACTAGGTAGTTTTTAGGGCTCAGTCATTCCACGTTTGCTCCCTAGGATTATTGTGAACGTCCATCTATGGAGGAATTACTCAACCAAACTACGCATTATTGGTTGCATAGTTTTGTGAGGCTGAGTGATCCGGGTCTGTAGTTTTTCTCTCTGAGAAGAAAGTTGGTTGAATAGCAAGATCGCATCTGGATGATTATGTGTATTGGTCTGCATGTGTACAAAATCGCTGATATTTGTTGTGTGAGAAAATCAGTACTGAATATGTCGAATATGACGGATTATTTATATGTTGTGCTCTCTGAAGAGAGGTTATGTTCAAAGTTTCAAATTACGAAAAACTGAGAATTACGCGCCCGCGTTGTGTGTAATTACTGTTATCATGTATATATGTATATGTATATATGTAATTCGACAGTGTACAGTGAATATAATTATTTCTTATCTCTTGCATTTTTGAAATTCAGCAAATTTGTATAAGTAATTTCAAGAATGGATAAGAAAAAGTGGATGCGCAACTAATTTCTAGCTTTTAATCTCAATGAAGTGTATCTGGGACAAGAACCCAATGTAATTATCATCAACACATACAACTTACAGCTTAGACCTCCAGTAATGCCATCTCAGAAGTGTGATAACAAGCCTCATGACGTTTAGGCAACACGTACAACTAAGTGCTAAGTTAGTAGGAGGGAAAATGGTGGAGCTGATTTTCTGTTTCGCTTATTTATTAGTACTGCAATTTCTACCGTTAGGGATGTCTGCGGTCCGAAGCAGCTGATCAAAACGTCAGCTTGACAAATATGTCAAAGATCATAACAAAAACAAGAATTTTTTTGTTGAAAAATGTCGTGTCAAATCCGTTTATCGGGAAATATACAGGATGTGAGCGAAATAAGACGGATTTTATTCCCTACTGACGATCATCGAGGTACCTCCCGTTCCAAAAATTGCTTTGTCAAATCTAGCTCTTTGTTTTGCAGGTTCTGACAGCTGGCTCCAGGTTTGCGAGGCCTCTGTGTCCCCCACAGGAGATCTGATTGTGATAGCTCACGAACGGAAGATTATAGTGTTGAGTGCAAAATGGAACCCACAGTTATCAGCGAACCACTATGTGATAACATACTCTGGTACAATTCATGACTATGATAAAGTGAAAGCAGTGCTTTGCCTGCCAGTTGTAGGCGAGAATCAACATAGTCAAATAGGTCCAGACTGGACTTGCATTGTAGTGGGTTATGACTCTGGATATGTGAGATTTTACACTGAAAATTGCGAATTACTGCTAGATGAACAATTTCATAGTGAAAATATAAAAAGTGTGAAATGTCAATCTCAGCATAGCCCTAGACCTGATATAAGCCCAGATTTGAGGCTTGAAGAGATTTACATTCAGTATCAGAGCTGTGTTTGTATCCTCGGTGGATCTCAGATATTTCCACATCTGAGATCTGCAAGAAATGATGGTGTAAAAGGTAAGTTTGATATTCAGAACCATTGAGAACTATTTACAATGAACCTCAATGAAAAAGCATTTCTATATACATAATCACTGGGAATTTTACGCATTGAGTGTTGCATGAATGGTTTTACTTAAATGTCTGCCTCTGGAAGCTACATAATCCTGACTCTTCATGATTACCTATTTTGTTAATTGTTTGGTGGGATTCAGGAGGGATAAGTTGAATAGCTGAATTTTTAGGCCTCTGCATAGAAATAAGTTTGGGGCATGATCTTGGGAGCCCATTTGTTTCAAATCAGGGCAGAAGATGGAACAAATCAGGATTTAAGGTTGTAGATTGGGACAAACAAAAAACAAGGCTTTTTAAAACTAAGGTTCAATTTATTGTACCAGATGTTGCCAGAATTCTATAGTAGATATGGTCTACTCAGCCTTGAATAAACTAGTAATAAAGCTTTCGTTCATCCAACCACAGATGACAACCATGTACAGCTGTTTAATGCGAACAGAGACGACTTCAAATACCATTTACACAATATGTGACAGGGCAGTATTTCAGATAATGCCACGAAAGAACAGTTCGTAATTCCTTTTGTATGTTGTCTTTGCTGTTTACGGCACATTAACTTTGTTATTTCAATTGTATTTGTTTCTGAAAGTCATAATGTTCCATTGCAGGTCCCCCTCTACCTCCATCATGCCTAAAAAAATGGTCAATTCACGACCAGTCCTTGGTGAACGATACAGCCGTTGTAGGCCTCTGCCCCACATCCTCCTTCGATCACTTGTTGACCGCCTCCACGTGCGGTGGTTTTGACGCCGTCTACCGAGCTGCCCCGCCTGCTGCTTCGTTGGTCATAGCCGCAGGCTCCAGGCCGTTTTTAGGGTGGCACTACGTATCGGAAGGAGCTGCGCAACCGGCGTTGGGGGATGTCGCTAAAGTAGTAGCGACGAGGATTAAGTCTGCCTTGCCGTTAGTTGATTTTTGTTTTTCTATAGGTTGCATTCAGAAAATGACAGCTCGATAGTACTAAATGTCAGCATCTGTTTTAATATCATATCAGAGTTGGTGTCAAATGAAAATTAAAGATGTCAAATACGTCGAAAATGCAGAAGGGTAACTGTCATTGAGTGTTCAAAGGCGCCTAGACGCCGATGTATCAGGCTTTGACGAACTATTTGTAGGTAGCTGTTGCTACCGCTTCACGCACTCCATGCTGAGTTCTCTTAAATTGTTTAATCTCTGTTGTCTGTCTTCAAGACTATGTAAACCTATTCCGTAATCAAAGAATTATTATGCCAAGATAGAACACTGTGTTTTGCGATGTTGATTCTATTTCGAAAATACCTAAAGCAGAATGTACATTTTGCTCAAAACGTCTTACGGAAAACGGCACAAAAATTTCAAAGACTGTAAAAAATTGCGGAAAATATTGAGTGTGTTATTTTTACGATTTCAAGTTTTTTCGTGTTCCTTTTTTTCAAGATATCTAAAAAACATTTTTTTTTCTAGTTATATCGCTATTTTGAACCGACAACGTTTTGAGCTCTTCAATTAGAATTTACCTCTGCTTATTTATGATTATTATTAAATCAATCAAAAACTTTTGTATTGTGTGTTGAGGTTTCACCATACCTATTTACTTCCTTATAATTTTCATTCAAACAACAAATCATGGCCAACTAAGGAACTACATCAATTAATTTATGACTGAAAACCCCATTTAAATATTCAAAATTTCAATGTAGTGTTCATATAAAAAACTAAATGGAATTCGAAAGACGAAACCTCGAATTGAAAATTTGACTATGCCATATTGTAGAGGAGAAAAATTGGCAAAAACAACATGCATTTTTTTCTCAAATCCAATCCCAAATAAAGTCAGGAAAAAATAGATATGATTTTGCGATGAATCTGGCATATTAGACAAATGACTATCTGATAATTTCAAGGCCTACCTAGGACATTGTGTTTTTTAAATAATTAAGGTTTCACAATCTCAGTATATGATATATCATACATTTTTAGAATTAGAATACTCCCGTGATCCTGAAGAAAAAATGAAGTTTATTCTGGAGGACAAGAGACAAAACGTCATATTGAAATTTTAATTATGCCATCATGTAGAGGAGAAAAGGTGGCAATATTAATAAGCATTTTTTTAGAAATCCCACTACAAATAGAGTCAGGAAAAGATTAAAACGATTTTGGGAAAATTCTCGGAAGTATGCACTTTAAATTTAAGCGACTTCCTATCTTTCTTACCGTTTCCGAGAGCCCAATGGTGAGGCTCGAATTTGAAACATCCGGTATACCGTTTCGTTTCCCACAGCGGCTGGCTCACAGGAACTATCGCCCAGCCCGAAAAAAAGATGTCGCTTTCGACGCACCCTGCAGACGCTATGGGGTGCCGATTCGGACTCTGTGACCTCCGACGAACAGCTACAGACGTAATACTCTCACCAGATAAGATGTTTGCTGCCGCATGTGATACTTTAGGAAGGGTTCTTCTGGTAGACTCGATAAGAGGGGTAGTTGTTAAGATATTCAAAGGATACAGGTATAGTATTTGTGTAAAGCTATTTTTCTTCCTCAATACAAACTTAGTCGAGATTAGGCACGGTTTTGTACGTTTCATGATAGTGACAAATAAAGTTAAACAGTTTGTGACTGCTTGACAGACATTACTAAAGGTTCAATAATGGAGTCAACTTTTGAAAACCTAAATATAAATAGCTTCGCGCAGACATGGGGTCATTTTCAGCATTTGTTTCAGGTATATTTTGGCACAGAATACATTTTTGAACTGTTATGTCAAAATAATCCGAATAGATATTCATTTGTTTGGGAGTAAAACAGGGTTCAACCTTGGGACCATTTCTCTTTTTGCTTTTTATTAACGATACCACTAGCATATTGATTGTGGAACTTTGATCTTTGCCGATAACTTAAAATTGTACTTTGAAATCAACAGCATTACTTATTGTGCGAGTATCTGCAGTGTCGTCTATCAAATCCGGAAAATTGGTGCTAAATGTAATGTGATAACGTTAAATCGGTTACAACAAAAAGTTATTTATCCTTATTGCCTTGGAGGAAAGATATTATCACGGCATCAAACTTTGTGACTCAGAAGGATGAGCTTTAGCTGTCAAATGTCTGAAATTGTCAATAATGAAAATAGATATCTAGGTTTTATTATTGGAAACTATTAAAGATTTTTCTGCATAAAGGCATCATACTTCGAGTACATACGTTCCAAATTGAAATATGCGTCGCTAATTTGGAGTCTTTATTACAACTGCTATATTAATCAAATTGAGCATGATCAAAAAAGACCAGTGTTCGTGGTTTATTGGAATATATTTTTGACTTTAGATAACCCCGAACGCGTCGATCAAGGCCTTTCCCCCACTTCCTCGTGTACGAGGGATGTCTTTTAAGTTTTGCATATGGAAATAAAGCAACACGGTAGGTCGTTTTAAATAACTTTATTGTTTTTCGAAGTATTCTCCACGAAGATTAATACACATCTGCATGCGCTCAAACCAATTTCCAAAGCAATTATTCCACTCGTTTGCTGGCAGATCGCTTTTTGAATGCGTCAACTGCTTCTTCTGGTGACTGGAACCTTTGACCACGCAGTCTGTTTTTAATGTTCGGGAAAGTAAAGAAATCGTTAGGACTTAGATCGGGACTACTCGTATATGGAGGATGGTCCATTAATTCCACGTTTTCTTCCGTTAAATACTGCTTGTTTTTTGGGCTGTGTGCGAGCTTGCATTGTCTTGGTGGAGGATGATTCTTCTTCCGGGTTGATTTTTGGAAGCTCGATGATGACTTTTGGCAAACGAATGGTGGTATACCAATCCGCAGTAACAGTTCTTTGCTCATTAAGAGGAATTGTTGCAATATGAGCCGCTTTTGACACAAATGTCGCGACCATCTTATTCGAAACACTTCGAGAACGGATGACTTTTGTTGGCTTTTCTTCACCTTGGGATACCCAAACAGCCGACTGTCGTTTATTTTCTGGTTCATAACAGTAAATCCACGATTCATCACCACTAACAATACTGTACACATTTTTTGAGTTTCAGGAATTGAAACGGTCAAGCGTTTTTTGACACCAATTAACCCTGGCTGCTTTCTGCTCTTTAGTCAACAGGTGGGGTATCCAGCGAGAAACTAATTTTCATACTCCTAATTCTTCATGTAAAATTTTTTGAATTGAGGTCTTTGAGATCCTCAAGGACGCCTCAATCTCGCGATATGTCACATGTCTATCTTCAATGATGAGTTTGCGCACAGTATCGACGTTTTCCTGGGTGACTGCCATTTCTGGTGCCCCCACCCTGGAATCGTCGCTAAGATTCACCCGTCCACGTTTGAATTCTCCATACCAACGGGAAATTGATGACTGATGTGGCGCTTCGTTGCCGAAAACATACAAAAACTCAGCAAGGCATTCTTGTTGCGATAATTGTCTCTGAAAGTTGTAATAAATTATGGCGCGAAAATGTTCTCGGTTGAGTTCCATTTTTCTAATGACTTGGTGACACTTAAAAATTCACTGTAGTGAAAACACTGCACGTATTGTTGTGAAACTTTGAATTTAAGTTTACTAAAGAGTGAGGTTAGGATTCAGTACTGACGTTCGATCCGTGCGGCCTACTATGTTTCTATATGCAAAAGACATCCCTCGTATACGATTGCCGCGTAATTCAAATCCCACTGGACGTATTATGTTGGGCAATAAATGCTATTGTTATTATTTGTTTCAGAGACGCACAATGTTCTTTCATCCAAGTACCTGACGAGAAAAAATCTAAGCATAGGCACGGTAACAAAGTAGCTCATTTTCTGTTAATCTACTCCCCTAAAAAAGGAACTCTGGAAATATTTTCATTGCTACAAGGCTCGAAAATCTGTACTTTCACAGCATCAAAATTCAGCAGATTATTTAACATAAACTATGGTCTCATGGGATTTAACTCGACTACTTCTAAGAGCCGATATGTATGTCAGTGGACCAGTGTTTTAATAGATAACGATGGTCAGATCAAAGAAATAATGGTTCCCTACCATTTTGCTTTGGCAGAGAAAAATAATAAGCGATCGAGGGATATCCATCTTTACAAGAAACTACGACATTACATTAAATCGGGTGATTACAATGAAGAAACTTTACTGAAAGAATCCTATGATATTTGTACAGAGTTGAAGACGCTTGAAATCAAGTCTCAAATAGTTGACATGCTGATTAGTAATAGAAACATTCCTGCAAACGTTATACTGAAATGCGCAAAGTACTTTGTAGAAAATGCGGCTGATGATGAAGGAATTAACTTTAGAATCTTGTGTGATAACATTAGTCATTTATTAGAGTTATACCTATTTGTAGCAAACAAACAAAACGGTGATAACGATGAAACTGAAAACTCGTCGTTGAAGTTAGACGAGAAAGATATGACTAACCTGCAGAAATTATTAGATTTAAGTATTGATAGTGATAGTAAAGAACTACCCGAAGTCCATGTTAGATTCAGTGATAAAAACTTGGCATTTAGCACGTCAGAATTCTTATCAGCATTCGACTTTACTAATGTTGAAATAGTGACGCTTAAAGATAAGGTAGATGATGGCATTTTATTTAAAACTTCCGAGGTGCTTCTGAAACCGTACATCACAGGAGAATTATCAAGCTTCGCGCAACTGGAAAACCTGTTCATCAAAGCAAAAATTGATACGAAGAACTTGTTCTGCATGCTCGTCAATTATTGGGTCAATCGATCTTTGCATATAAATTTGAATCTTGAAAAGGAGATGAACAACTTCCTGCATTTATGCTACACGTTACTACGAACTGCATCTAAAGAGGATACAGTATGTAACTATAATCAAGTCTCGACATTTTGGTCAAAGATACGCGAGACCCTCGCGAACTCTTCAAGACCCTTTCCGGCTTTGATGGCCGCAATTTTGTGCAAAACTGCTGCCCACAAGATCAATATCGAAAAACAAATGGAAGATTCATCCATCAGTGTGGAAGAAGAGAGTATGGAGGTGTTATCTCAGGAAAGCGTGCTTTGGTCTCTTTTGATAGGCAAACTGGAGGATATTTCGCTTTTGAACATCATCATGTCAACTAAAGCTTTAGCTAAGGATGCCGCGTTGCCAAAGTTACAACACGATAAAATTGATGTCAGTTTGAAGTATATTCTAGAAAAGGGTAGAGGTGCGGTTAGTGAGATCGTAGCTCGGTGGTTGAGCTCAAGCGGGATTGATCCGCAACTGATAGTATTGAACGAGATGACGGAGAAAGAAGAAGAAAACTTTGAAAGTGAGAAGATTCTGGATCAGTTGAATTTGTTGAAGGAACAGTTTCCTTATAGTTTAAACTCTAGTGCGCTCTTGGCGAATTTGGCTTGGGAATACGCGCTTGATTGGCAAAAGGAGATTCAAGACTTTAGCAAATTGGAGGCTGCGATGAAATGTTTGGGATGTATTCAGAATGTGCAGGTCAAGCAAGGTAAGATGGTTTGACTTATCAATTTTACATTCTCATGCAACATCCGAACACAAAACATGGCGGGCACACGTTTTTCAAGGTATGCACAAAGGTATTTTACAGCCCCATAGAGGGTCCACGCTTCTAGTTAAAAGTGCGCACATAGCTATGAAGTTCATCTCTCATATGTCAAACTGGTAATGTGTGAAATATTGGAACACTATCTTCCAAGACAGTTTAACGCGTCAGGACGTGCTGAAAAAAAGGATGGACACAAATCTCATACAATATCTAGATTGATATAACAGCAATTGAATAAGCATTTGAAGCATCCCACAAACCGGCGCGAAATAATCGCGGCGAAGTATTCGCAACGAAATTCAGAGCGAAATTCGCAATCTGTTTCGCCTGTTTATTCATACCAAAGCGTCTTATTCGCTCCGCGAACGTGAAGGTTTCGACAGGTTGCGTACATTTTATTTTTGCCTTTTGCAATGAGCTCGTCTTCAGAAGAAGAGGAGGCACTTCTATTTCTTGCTTTAGAAGAGGAACAAAATGCACGGTAAGTTATGTTTATTTAACGCCATTTGATAGTTGGGTATGTATTAAGTTTAACGAAGTACATAAAACAAATATTTTCAATTTTGTTTAGGAAACGAAGGAAGTGGGTACATGATATTAACTTGGAACGAAATAAATTTGGGGAATACCATACCTTGATGCCACAACTTCGGCTGGATGAACAGCGCTTTTACGTATATTTTAGAATGACTCCAGAGTGTTTCGATGAAATATTGAACTTGGTGAAAGATGAAATACGAAAATCTGACACAAATTATCGTGAAGCTATTTCGCCAGAAGAACGACTTGCTATTACACTCGGGTAAAAAAATTATATGTATTAAAATTAGTAGGCTTATCGAATACGAAAACTTCAGGGATCGTGAAATAAATATTTTATTGTAATAATTGGACTACATGTTGCCACTAGGATTAAATGTTGCTAAATAATTCGAGGCAGAATTTGCCTCCTCTGTTGGGTATATTATTGGAGTAAACCCACTTCCGCTTGGGAAGGACGACATACTACTATCATACATACTTGCAGAATTCTGGGTAGACGCTGAAGACATTTCTTCAATATGTTCAAATTCTTCGTGCGCTATTAATTCGGCTATTTTAAGTTTTATTCGGGCTTGACGCTTTAAGGGAAGTGTTTTCACAGTCTGTGCATGTGCCAAGAAAAGTGAATCAATGGCCTCGTTCTCTTTTTTAGGTTTTTTACCTTCAAAATAATTAATGAGCTGTTGTACAGACGAAGATTTTGGTTCATAGCGTTTTCTGCTCGTTTTATATTTTGGTGTAGTTGCAGTCTGCGGAAAGGTGTGCCCTGCTGTAGTGTTCAATGAAGAAGGTGGTGCTGTCTGTGTTGCCGAGGCGTTCTGTACATCTTCTGCATCTACATCAGCATTTTCATCTTCTCCATGGCCGCGGTCTTCCAAATTTTCGGTTTCTACATTTCCAGCCCTTTCCTGATATATATTTGAGTTAAATTCGGCAGTCTCATAATGTATGACGTCAATATCTTTCACATTAGACGACGTTTTGGCAAATGCCAAAAAAGGACGGAAAAATTCCATGTAGTCAGCCCACTGCCATTTTTTATGTTGCCCACTGCTTGGCTGGTCTTTGGTTTGGTCGATTTTATATATTTTGCAAATGTGTCTCTGGTATTCTTCCTTTTTTTTTACTTCATCACCTAAAAACGTTTTTTTTATAGATTCCTTGCCACTGGTGACACCTTCTATACCATAGGGCATAGCTTTCGAGTTGGCTTTACAACAGTGAGTGCAATCGTAACCGAAGTCTGTGAAGCGATATGCAGACATATGGAGCATATATATTTACCAGAACAAACAGAGAATATATGGAAAAAATGTGCTGAAGAATTTGAAAATAGATGAGGATTTCCCAATTGCATTGGCAGCGTGGACGGAAAACATGTCACAATCAAGAGACCTAACAACAGTGGCTCCAATTACTGGTGCTATTTACTTAAATATTCAATAGTACTTATGGCCATTGTTGGCCCGGACTATAAATTTATATGTGTTGATATTGGTGGTTTCGGAAAAAATAGTGATGGGGGTATTTTTGAAACCTCAAACATGGGAAAACGGTTTGAACAAAATTTAATGAGTGTCCCTGCACCTAGATTTCTCCCTGGGCAAAATGAAATCTGCTCGTACGTCTTAATTGGTGATGAAGCATTTGCTTTAAAACCATACCTTATGAGACCATTTCCTTATAAGCAGACTTTAACAGACGTCAGAAAAGAGAAATACAATGTAAGACTTTGTCGAGCTAGAAGGGTCGTGGAAAATGCGTTTGGTATTTTGTCTCAAAAATGGCGAATATTTTACAGGCCATTAGAAACTAAAGTAGATTCTACTATTCTAATTGTACGTACGGCATGTGTTTTACACAATTTTTTACGAAGTAAAAGTGGCGATGACAAATATTTTCAATTCTTAGATCCCCCAGAACCCGTGCTTGGAGCTTTTACTGATATAGCAAATGATCCTCGGTGGGCAGCAAGGCTAGCATTTTCTACTCGTGACAAATTCGTAAATTATTTTAATTCTGATATGCCTATGCCCAATATATAGAATGTTCGTTTTCACATTTGTGTAGACTGTAAATTATTTAACAAGTTAATAAAAAATATTAGGTACATACCTTTTGTATTTAATTCTTTTCCTATTTCCATCCAAATCTTGTCTTTCTTTCTCACATTCCTGTATTCATCGTTCGACAAATCATACAAACAAGGATACTTTTTCACTATTTCTATCAATAATTCCGTTTTTGCCATTGCGAATTTTTGAAGAACGGCGTCAAAAACGCGGTCAAAGGCGAACTGAAATACGCCGCGATAAAAACGCTGGAACAATCGCATTCGCTTCGCACAAGTCTGAGCCTGTCCGTAAACCGCCGCGTTTTAATCTGATCGCGAATTCATCGCCGCGAAATTTTCGCAGCCAAAGCGAATATTTCGCGTCGGTTTGTGGGATGCTTATAGAAAATAAAATTCTGCTTGATAATTTCTGTGAAGGCATAAATAAATAATAAATAAAATCACAGAATGCTTATTCTTTAACGGACATCGATTAAATATTTAATTTACTTGACTGCCGTGCGAAGAACCCTGATTCTTAAGCCAGACCTGTTAACAGGGAGCGCTCACGCCCTCTGCTGGGCAGTAGGACGACTTCTTCTGGCCTTGCCAACGTCACAGATACGCGGCGTGGTCGCATAGTCGTCCTACCGTCCAGTAGAGTGCGCGACATCTTCGTGTTAAGAGAAACAGGGCTGGCTTGAGGAACAGGGTTTTTGCGACGGTAAAGGAAATTGATTATTTGTTTTACTAATTCTCAGTATTGTCGTTATGTCAGTCTATCGACGTAGCAGGTTTGGTCCATGGACCAAAAATCAATAACTAAAAAACGTTCGGACAGTTGTATGTAAGCTTATATCAAAAAAAAAGTTCACCAAAAAAAACTATTTAACGATGTAGTAATATACAGGGTATTTCTTTTGAGAAAATGTACATTTTGTGTTTTGAGATACTCTGTATAAATACAAAGACATTACAGCAGTTTTTCCAGATCAGCTTAAAGTCGATGATAATAAAATTCTCGTGGATAAAGATTTTATCTAAATACAGGGTGTAAACGTTATGGTAGTCATTATTGAAACGGGTAATAGGGGGGGTCAAAGCAAGTTAAAAAGTTCATATGACCCATGGTCCAAAAGTCAATAGATTTTTGTCTAAATGGCTTTATAGTTTACAACTTTAAGTGCTTTATATCGACCACAATCTTACTAATTTTTATAATCTAATCTAAACCTTTTTAAATTGGGTAATTAACAAATAAATGGCATTAAGTTTTCCTAAGTTAAGCCAAAATTTGTAGTCAGTAAGTAAGTTTCATTAAATTAAATATTTAAAACACACATGACAACAGCGCGTCGGTCTTTCAGCACTCTTATCGAACCGGCAATCGATCGCAAACGGTAACAGTGGTTAGTTATCGTTTTGCATAGATAAATTACTTTATCTTTTTGTCGAGTAGATCATCGGGCGTGTTGTTTTGTTTTTGTTCGCGTACGTCGTCGTGTTTATTTACGTGTTTATTCTCGAATCAAGAGTTCGCCGACATGTTGTTAGTTTACGGCGAAGCTCGTCAGAATTCAAATCAGCCAACGGGTACACCCAGAGAGAAGGACATTTGTGCAAGTGTACCAAAGACTTCGAAATACAGAAAGTGTTCAGCACATTAATATTCGCACTCGTGAAAGACAGGTTACTGTAGAGCAGGAGGAACAAATTTTAAATATCGTGGAAATCAATGCAGATATCGGCACTCTGGAATTAGGCCGCCGCGTATATCGCATACCATACCATCCTACGGGAAAATTTGCTTCATCCCTACCATGTACAACGAGTGCAGGCCTTGTTACCAGAAGACTATCCTCGCAGACTAACATTCTGTCAGTGGTTTTTCCACAAAAACATTGAAAATCCGTATTTTCTTTTAAAACATTCTAGCGACGGACGAATGTACTTTTACGCGAGACGGGATATTAAATTTCCATAATACTCACACGTGGGCCCAAGAAAATCCTCAGACCATTCGTGAAGGTCATTTCCAACAACGTTTTAAAATAAATATTTGGGCGGGTATTCTTGACGATCAGGTAATTGGCCCTTTCGAGTTACCCCCAAAGTTGTCAGGAGAAGGTTACCTTAGCTTTCTAGCCAATAACCTACCAGAAATTTTTGAACAGACCATAGACAACATGCCACTACAACGGAGACTGAATTTGTGGTTTCTTCATGACGGGGCACCACCACACATTTTTAGAGGCATCATTCAGTATTTGAGTGAACATTATCCGAATCGCAGTATTGGTCGAAATGCCCCTGATCCTCGAAAATGGCCAGCAAGATCTCCTGACCTCAATCTGATGGATTTCTGGTATTGGGGAGAACTTAAACGGATGGTTTATGGGGTTGGTCCAATAACAACTGAAGCACAACTTCGCGAAAAAAAATTTGATGCGGTTGAAATAATAAATGGACAACTTCGAGGACCTAGAATAAGAAGAAACTGATGACTATCATAACGTTTACACCATTTATACTAAGTGACAAAATGCAACACCCAAAATTATTTATTGAATTTTGAAAAAAACATAAACATATGGTATTACGCTGATAAAATGTTGAAGGCCCTCCGAGCCGTACTTTTTTGAAAAGGCTTTTTTTGTCATATCAGGATCCGAACAATATGAACAGGTTTACTTAATATTCTGTAATATTTCTGTGCTGGTTCCATTTGTTCATTTTAATCAGCTTCTATTTATCAGTAGACCTGAAACTTGTAAAAGTATGCTCAAAATTGCATCACTCCTAGTCAGTGTTGCAGTTTCTATGCCATTTAGATATCTAAACAATAGAAACCATATGTTATACGGTATCAAACTTCTTGTTGTTAGAAGCTCTATGCAAATAAGCAATTAAATATAGGGTGTTCTTTTTAAAAAAATATATGTTCGCTATGGCACAAAGTTATGGAACACGATGTATATAGTCAAAATCACGAAATATGACTAGTACGACATACCATAAATTATACTGAAGTAATCAATGGACGTACGTCGATGATAAAATCACCATGTCAGGAACATAATGACAACAAATTTGTGTTATGATTTTGCGAAGTTAGGTTATTTTACTGATTGTTTTTATTTTCATTTTATTTCATGGTTTTGAGTGATACTGTAATAATAATTTCAGTGGGGAGTATTATTCGAAAACAACCTAACCTGCTTTAGCATAACCTAACTATTCATCTTTCAAATATGATCGATTGCCATGTTTTTCCGTGTTGGGTAGACCCCCTACTTACCCGATATTAATTTCCTGTAAATTTCTAACTGTAGTGAAGTTTAGTGTTAAAAACTTAAAGTAAAAACACATGTTAATTTATACATTTATTAATTGAATTTAAATTAAAACTACTCAAAATAAAATTTTGTATCTGTTATGTAAAATATACGTAACATTAAATAAACAGGTGTCTGACCAATAAGTGCCCGCATTGAAAAAAAAATAAGAGGGATAAAATAAAAAAAGTGAAAATAATAAAAAAAGTGAAAAATAATAAAAAAAAGTGTTTTACTTAAAATAGTACAATAAGCGAGTTCGTTTATTAATTATAACATAAACGTATGTTCTACAATAATTTCACTGTTAGTTTGATTAAATTCCGCTTCTTATACGTTTAAGTTATCTAAAAATAGGCAAAAAATTAACGAATTTTAGTCTGTATGCTTGAATTTTCAGCATATTTTTTTAAAAAAATCAATGCGGGCACTTATTCCCAATGCGAGCATTTATTGGTCAGACACCAATAAACATAAAATAAACTATAAATAAAATAACATAAGCAATAAGTCAATATTTTTAGTGAGAAGGATGAACCTGATGCTTTAATAATAAATTATCAACATTTGGCGTCAATTTTGTAAGGGTTAATCTTAAATCTCCTCGGCTAATGATGTCCAGTCTGTTTCTCTTTTTCGTTAGGAGATCGGTAACAGCGCTGAACCCCCTTTCCACTAGGTATGACGATGGAAAGGAAATTAAAAATTTCCTCGCTATATTCCATAATACGGGATAAGTAACGGGTATGTTGTTTTGCAGCCAGAATTGCTGATGTCCGTTTTTAAACTGAACCTCAAGTTCTTCGTTTGTACTTAGTTCAGTCAGTTCCTCTTGTATTATGACATTCGTTTCTTCTATGTCACCATATGGATTAATTATCCACGGTGGTATTACCATAGTCAAAATATCCTCAAACCTAAATTCAAAATCAGAATAGAGGGCATTTAAATGTTGAACGTAAGTTGAAACGTCGTCTTCCTGGCATCTTATCTGTGACAAATTGGGGAACTGAGAAAATTCGCCCCGTCCAATATTTTGCTTTATTAGTTTAACTCTGGCAAGAAACGCTGATAAGATGGACTTTGTTTTAATCAAATTTAAACTCTTCATTAAATTTTCTTTTAAAATTTTATCTTTAGTATCCAGAAATTCTAAAATAGTCTCAAAAAGTGCAAAAAACCTTGTCAAACATAAGCCTTTCGACAGCCAGCGTACTTCAGTGTGAAGGAGTAATTGATGAAAGTGTTCGTCATTTTCTTCACACAACTGCGCAAATAACCGCGTATTCAACGCGTTGCTTCGGATTCGGTTTACTGCATCAATGACTAAATGAAGTGGTTCATGCAATCTAACACTCAAATTTTTAGCAACTAAATGTTGTCGATAGATGACGCAATGAATTGCTAACACCCCTGACATATTTTGTTTTAAATAGCTTATAAATCCACGATAACGTCCAACCATGGCAGGTGCTCCATCTGTAGCTACTGATATTATATTTGATAAAGGAATTGCTTTTTCAATGAAGTAATCCTTCAAAACATGAAATATTGATTCACCTTTATTGTCGGTTATCAAAGTTCTTGCGAAGAGCAGTTCTTCGTAGATTTCTTGATTCATAATAAAACGAACATACATGTATGCCAATAATAATCAGGTAAAGTTGACTCGTCCAGTTGTATAGAGAAATGGGTCGTTTGCAAATAATTACATAAGAAGCTTTCAATATCAGAACTCATTTCATCAATACGTCTTTCAACAGTATTGTTGCTTAAGGGAATTATTTTAATGATATCAGATGCAGGTTTGTGTAAAACAGTTTTTAAAACCTCTTCAACGGCTGGCAAAATTAACTTCTCTATGATAGTATGCGGTTTTCCGGATTTTGCTATAAGTAACGAGATATTGTAAGACGCCCGCAAACCATCATCATTTCTTTGTGACGTCGAAGCGAACATTCTGTCCAGTGTAGTTCTCTTCTGAAATTTATCTTTGAGTGTTTGAAAGTATCTTCTCAGATGATCTTGCAGTTTAGATGGTTTCATAGCGTCATTGCCCAAAACTTTGTTGCATAAAAGGCACATAGGCGATTGTTTGTCCGGCAATGATGGAATGAAGCCAAATTTCAAATAATTAACACTGTACTAACTACATTTCTTTTTAGATTCGGACATGGCATCAGTCAACTGTGGGCAAAATTAAATTATTTAAATAAGACAGAAAATCCAGCAGCTGTATATTAAAAATATTTTTTGATTTTTCCGAAAACATTCCATAATTCGAGCATCTTCTTGCAACAATTAGCTCGAATTACGGAGATTGCACTGTAATTATATTACCGATTGCTAAAACTTTCAAAAAGAAACTATTGAGGAGTACTCGTGTAATTTTGCATGATTGAATATTTAACTACTAATAACTAAAGTCATGATTGGCATAATTTATCTATCTTTGCTAACTACGAGTACAAAAATTAAAATTTAATAAAAAATAATGTACTTACTTTTCTCAGAGCAAGGTAGCGAAGCTCTGAGACTGCGACTCTCAGGTTTTTACAAGTTCAAAATGTATTGCGACCACAAAGCGAATCCTACAACTTACACAATTTTATAATCATATATAATAAATTTTTTACTTCATAGGTACTTTTATAAATAATGTATATGTTTTGATATTATAAGATAGTATGATGTAAGTAAATAGGTACTATCAGTGTATGTGTTGAGATCCACTATCGTGGACACCCATATTCATTTCATGGACCCCCAAATTTTTTTTCGCTGACGTAGACCCCTTGCAGTTTGTCATAGACCCCTAGGGGTCGATATAGACCACTTTGGGAATCAATGGTTTAGACAATAAAATTCTGTTTGTCTCTGTCTAACATATCTGAAACTTCATTAAAAATATTCACACATCGGAAATCGCTGTCGTTTGTCTTTACTACAGACTAAAATGATGACGTAATCATCATCTTTAGTGATTCCGACTATATATTAAAATAAAATAATATTTAAATATACAGTAGTAGTAACATATCAAAGTTTCCACGAAAACACATTTTTGATATCTTTTCCAGTCTGCTCATAAAACGACTTGTCATTTTCGTTGGGACATCCTGTATAAATAAATTTATTTTTTCAGGCATGTACCAACTTCTCTGGAACACCCATCTAAAAATAGTGAACGAAAGTACCTGCAAGCTGATCAACAAAGTGGGCAAACTCCCAAAGGAACGCTTATGTAGACAAGACACCGGCTTGTCCGATGCTCAAATCACAATTTTCCTCGGCATAACCTCAGATTTTTTGGACGCGTTCATGGACGTAACCCAGACCGCTTGCAGCCCCCACCCCTTACAATTCGAGAACATTTGGGAAAACGGCGGACAGCCATTGGTCGAGTTGGCCGCGCAGCAAAAACAGGCCAACTACGACTTGTTGCACTTGCACTATCAGTTGAGCATGGTGTTACAGATGATCACCACGTTCGGCGTCAAGCATAGCAAACCGGTCAATAATCTGTTTGAAGCATCGGTAGTTAATGTTTTGTTCACGGATTTCGCTAGGAACGTTGAGGTGAGTTGATAAATCTTGAACCATGTATTCATGTCTTTGTTAAGCCGTTATTAAAAATATACAATCTGACTATAAAAACCAACACATTCCCTGATACTTGAAAACTTTCTAGAGCGACACCTATTTTCAAATCAGGGAATAATACTGATATTAAAAACTATAGAGCGGTGGCAATACAGGGTGTCCGCAAAGTTGGGGTTTTCCTTTACACGACGTGTAGATCTTGAAAACATAAGCAATTTTTCTTAGTACCACGTACACCAATGTCTTAAGGGAACCGAGATAAAGGGCTCTGCAATATCAAAAATATCTGAATACCGTCCTGTAGCCGCGACTCGCGACATCCCCGAGTGGTACTAGGACACTAGCTCAACCCCACGGCAGAACTGGGTCGGGGTCAGTGTGTCAGGTCAGTATGCAACCTTCAATCGACGGTTACGGTCACGCGTGTAGAGGTAAACGAACCCGTATAATCGATTGCGTTTCAAAAAACAACAAGCACTAGAGACGTGGCTAGAGAAGTGCAAGTATCAAAAACTAAAGTGTGGCAAACGCTGAGAGAAGAGGGGCTGTATCCGTTTCACGTCCAACGTGTACAAGCCCTTCAACCTGACGATTTTCCAGCAAGAGTGCGGTTTTGTGAGTGGTTGTTGCATCAACATGACAATAATCCGGACTTTTTGAAGTGCATATTGGTGACAGACGAATCTACGTTCACGCGTAATGGGGTGAATAACTTTCGCAACACTCATGTTTGGTCAGTAGAAAATCCGCACGCTGTCCGTCGGACACATTTTCGGTGAATGTTTGGGCTGGCATGGTGAACGGTATGCTCACTGGACCATTTATTCTCCCAAATCGATTGCACTGGATGCAATACCTAGACTTTTTACGCAACATTTTGCCTTCCTTGTTAGAAGATGTGCCATTAAGTGTAAGACAATCAATGTGGTTTCTGCACGATGGTCATATTTGTTACCTCTGTTCGTGGTCTGCACCACCGCCGGCGTCTGCTCGGTAGCGCATCAGCTGATTTCATTTTCTGTTGGAGAGGTATGATTTCGGGCAGAGACGTACTTAGCCCTTCTCGTCAACTGGAGAGTGAGTACTTTTTCCTTTATTTTTTTTTTACTTGGTCGCCCTCGTTTCACTACACATTACCTTTGTTATTTCAAGGGTAGTTGTTTCTGAAAAGGAAAACCCCAACTTTGCGGACACCCTGTATTGTCGAATTTCTCCAAATTGCTGGAGATAATATTGCATAATACAATTTACTCCGCAGTTCATAGATCTCTGTCCCGTTTTTAGCATGGTTTTCTTATTAAGAGATCCACAGTAACTAATTTAACAATTTTCACTCAGTTCGCTATGGAATGTGTCGATCGGCAAGGTGAACGAGATCTAGTAAATACCGATTTTGCTAAAGCGTTCGATAGGGTGGACCTTGGCATACTTTTGAATAAACTTTTTAATTATGGATTCCATTCATCAGCTTTAGCACTCATTCAAAGTTATCTTCATGAAAGGAAGCAATAGGTATATTCTTTAATTCACCGGTTAATTCCATCACTGATAGATCCGGTGAACTCATGGTTGACAGCTGATGTGATGACGTCAGCAACCGGTTCCGTTGAATGGTCGTTAATAAAAAGACGCATTTTTAGCCTTCAGGTTGCTGTCATATGAGAAAACCTAACCTTTGTTTTATCGTAAATGGATACTTGTTAATTTGAACACCGTATCATTTAAAATCATTATGGAAATGTACGCAGCAGTTGGTATTGTCGTGGGACGTTTGTTAAGCGATTCGAGTGATGATTCGGATGAAGACGTTATCCAGCGGAGAGAATGTGCGCTCCGAGAATCAATATAAGAATTATAAATCGGAAAACCAAGAAACTATCAGATATCCACGATCTCAAATCACTATACGAGGCGTTGATTTGAGATCGTCGATGCTTCCCGAATAAGAACCATCGATATGGATTTTCTGAGAGCATTCCTGTATTCATCCATGAATAAAAACAGAACAAAATCAGAAAATCGACATTTTCGGATTTACGAGGTATTGATTTGAAATCGTCGATATGCATAATTCAAAACAAATTGACTTGCTTTTAGATGCTCTGTTTATTTCAAATTGTGTTGAAAAAAAGCATTAAATTTCACGCGACTCCTATGCTGCTAACGTCAATCTTTTCTTCTTCCATTTTTTCACACAAAACTGTAGTTGTCAAAAACTGATAAAACGCAGAGGTTAGAATATCGTGGATCAACCGAGCCCGAACGTCGGTGGATGCTGTTGGCACCGGTGGCATATCAACCATCAATTTAGAGACAAGTTTGATGTACAACCGGTCGTTCTAGCGGAAATTAAAGGACGCAAACTTGGCTAACCGGTTGCACCGGTAGCTGTACCGGTGAATTAAAGAATATACCTTTTAATGGATTCAAGTCGTACCAGTATATAACTAAATCGGGAGTGCCTCAGGGTTCAAATCTTGGTCCTTTATTGTTTACCTTATTTATTGATGATGTTGTGCATTATTTAAGTTGTAATAAGCTCCTCTTTGCGGATGATTTAAAATTATTCAGGATTATTGAGTCTGAAACTGATTGTATTGCACTTCAGCGTGATATTGATTCTCTAGTGCCTTGGTGTGACGAGAACTTGTTTGTTTTTTTCTTCAGATGAAATCACCTGCTTTTTATGTGTTTTCTGTTCTTGTTATTTTGATTTATCTTAGGATTGTCCTGTAAGTGGTTTCCTTAACTGTTGGGCAATAAACGCTATTTATTATTATTAATACGAATTCAAAGATCGCTTGCTTAAAAATTGCTGAACCTCAATATTTATTGTATCCATGCCAGGAAAAAATTTCTTTAGTGGAACGAGACATTCAGAAAGTTTTCCGTTGTTCAGAATGCCGGAACACTCGAGACCTTTTGGTGAAGTAAACGTGAGGAGACATTCCAAAAAGTACAGGGTGGCCAATATATGACTGATTTAAATTGCCCGTCATTTTTGATACACGCATTGCAGTAGGTGGCGCCGTAGTAGTTGTTTAAAGCATAATTTCTCGATTTGGTGATGTCAACTGGCCGCCAAGGTCACCGGATTCAATTGCTTTTCATGGGGATTTTTGAAAACTAGGGCCAACAAACCAAATACTGTAGCAGCTGAAAAACAATATTACGGAAGCGATTGAAAATATTCCTCCGGAACTCTACAAAAAAGTAATGGTAAATGTAATCAAGCTGGCTCAGGTTTGCGTGGCTTCCAGATGCGGACATTTGTCTGATATTATTTTTCATACATAATTTCTAAGTTTCAGTAAAAGATTAAGATGAAAAAATGGATGTACTTTATTTTATTTCACGAATATTCAAGATACAAACCGGTCAGTTACATATTGGCCACCCTGTATTATGGCAGATTTGGCAAAAGTTCATAAATGACCGGAAGCTCAGGCACATAAAAAAATACAAAAACGAAATTTGTAAATGCTTATCTACTGTTGCTCAATTTATTTCTTGCTTTGTTTTGATTACAGGTCAGTTGGAACAAGTCAGACATAAAAATCAATGCTTCCAGAACACAGTTTTTATTCAAAGTTATTTCGGCCAGTATAGAAAGTATAACAATTAACGAATCAGGAAAAATTTACTCTACACAGCACGTTACGTGGATGGCAAAATGTTTATCTTTGGCAAGGTTAGTTGCATGTCATTTTTTACATATTGAAGAGGTTTTCAAAAGTCATCGTACCTCAGGCCAACATAATCGATGTCGCCAACCTGTCAGTGATCGTGTCCAAGATTCCGCCACCCAAATGCCGTTCATTCTGCTACGCTCTACAGGGTGATTCACAAGTCGTGACCAGAAATGAACCATCATACACAGGACCGCATTTTAAGGGGGGTCTTTTATGTAACATTTTTTCCTCGAGGGCTGCATTAAGGAGTTTAAAAATAAAGAAGAATGTTTTCTAATATCTTCAAAACCGTCAACTGGAATGAACTAAAATTTGGTATGTGGATTTATCTAAGTTCTTGCGGCACTTGAATCTTGTACGCATGCAAGCCCAGATTTTTGTCAAAATTCGTTGCAGGTGCAGTGCAGCAACGTGAATTTTGTCTTAAATTTTGTAATTAAACAGCGAACTGTCGACTCATTTGGCGCCTTATTGCGACCGAAAATTTTTGTAGTGACTTTTCACAGTAATTGAACGTTGTTCGTTTGAATACTGCTCCATGACCTAATCGCGTGGTCTGGATATGACAGCTGTCATCAAGTAAACACCATACCATTTGCACAAAAAAAATGGCGGCTAATTCAAATCTCTTGAGACACCGTTTACAACCTAGTGAGAAATACCCAATGTTTTCATCTTGTACCGTCTTATAGGTTTTGGAATTTGGACGTAGACTTGTTCAAGAGGTATCAAATCACGAAACTATATACAAACGGATTTGACAGTTTATCAGAAGAATTGATTCCGTCCATAAACGATCGCAATGAGTTGGGGAAGAATCTATTAATGGTAGGTGCCAAAAGAATGTCACAGTATCTAACAAAATCACCGGATTTCAGCAACAATATAGCTGCATTGAGTCCTGCTTTGACGAACTATATGGATACATTGGTAAGTGAATTTGTTACCAGACCAAATTACCTCGATTTTGACATCTTAAAATTATCAAATAAAAGGCACTAGAAAAAATAATAGGCACTCCAGGATTGTTCTTTTAAATAAAACCAACGATTTCGTGAAATTATCATGTTTATTTTTCAAATGCTTCCCTCAGCTCATCTTCTACAGATTTCCAGCTCAGTTTCACCAATAACTTGAAAAATGTTTTACTTCAGGTTGTTAATCGTTTGCGGATTGTTTGAAGGACTGTATCTTTCAATAAAATGTTAAGCTTGGGTAGATTGCATGAACTGCCAAACCAGCGGATATTCCCCTTGCGAATCACAAACCATTCGGCCAACAAGGAAAACGTGTGTATGACAATAGGGAATATGCATGTTTTTTTTGTATGGAGTTGTCCAAAACGGACGCAGGAAAGTAAACGCATATTAAAACAAGAAAGATTGATATTCAAATCAAGTTGGGTACTTTATTTTGAAGGTTCATTTATACCATTTCAATGACATTTTGCAACATGGTCGGTTCTATGGCATTTATCTCGGCAATGATGTTGTTTTTGAGTTCTTGGAGGGTGGCTGGTTTGTTGACGTAGACTTTGCTTTTCAAATATCCCCATAAAAAGAAGTCCAAGGGAGTCAAATCGCACGATCTTGGTGGCCATGGCACATTTCGTCTGCGCGAAATCACGCGATCACCGAAGAAGGACTGCAATCGATGGATATTGACGTTGGTTGTGTGGCATGTTGCACCGCCTTGTTGGAAATAAACATCGTTCATATGCATTCCTTCAAGTTGCGGCAAAAAATAGTCCTCTATCATCACGTGATATCGCTCAGAATTGACGGTAACAGCGTCTCCGGCCGCATTTTCGAAAAAGTAAGGTCCGATGATGCCTTTTGACCACAATGCACACCACACAGTCACTTTTTGAGGATGCATCGGCTGCTCTTGGTACTCACGGGAATTTCGCCCAGATGCTTCAGTTTTGCTTGTTTACCGTCCCATTCAAAGTGAAATGCGCTTCGTCGCTGAACATGATTTTTGATGAAAAATTGGCATCAATTTGGCGGTGTTCAAGGAGCCAATCTGAGAACGTTCGGCGCGAAAAATGGTCGGCCCGACGCAGCTCTTGCGTCAATTGGATCTTGTAGGCGTATACATTCAAATCCTTGCGGAGAATGCGGAGCAAACTGGTTCTCGAAATGCCCAATTCTTGGGATCGACGCGTTGTTGATTGTTTCGGATCGTCTCTCACACTCTCCTTCACAACAGCAATATTTTCCGGTGTGCGAACGCTCCTTGGCCGGCCAGAGCCTGGCAGATTTTCCACAGAACCTTTTGCCTCGAATTTACGCGCCAGACGACCGATCGTTGTTTCGTTTGGGCGGTTGTTGCGACCGAAATGTTCACGAAGCGCGCGAAACGTGTTTTTTATTTTTGCACCATTTTTGTAGTGCTCTTGAATAACTTTAATGCGGTCTTCAATCGAATACGACTCCATAGCGATCAATCGTAAACATTCAACTAACAAAATGACATGTCGGTGACAGAAAACAAAGATGGCGTCTATGTCAAATTGACGTTTACTTTCCTGCGTCCCTATTGGACAACCCTTTATTACCTGGCGATTATTTACGTTACTATAAGACGTCTTTCATTCATAAAAACTTCTGTATTTTCTTTAAATAAATGTTTAAAGGTGCAATGCCAATGACGCTGATTTAACGTCGCGTTTCTCGCGAGCTTCACAGTGACGTCACAACTCATAAAGTTAATTCAAGCGAACGATTGGTAAATATCTCGGTTATTTTCTAGGTATATCCGGGTCAGATAAAATAAATATAAATAAATAATAAATAAAAATCTGTTTTTTTGGGTTGTATGTTTTTAAGGAATGACATACATTATTGGACAAAAGTTTGGAAACATTCTTAGTAACTTTTAAAAAGTGCGCTAATTTTTTTCGCATATGGTTTGCTTACAGTCTTCGGGATACAAATGTCAATTTGCATTTGCTGTGGTACTACAGACTAGCATTAAAATACCTCCGTATTAGTTTATGACCAAAAATGGAAACTTTTTTTCAAAATTAAATACAGTAACTCTACAAAAAGAATTTAAAAATACTGTTTAGCTAATATTTGATAGCATAGCATTTAGCATTCAACACTGCCTGACATCTGCTGCTCATAGAAGACACCAATTTTTTACAGATGTCTGTTGGGATATTTTGCCAAATATATTTTACATAATCAAAGAAATCGTTCCTATTTTTTTAAGTTTTTCTCGTCAGTTGTCTTTTAACATGCTCCCAGAGATTTTCCATCGGGTTTAGGTCCGGGGATTGCGAAGGCCATGCAAGAAAATTAACATTTTTTGTCTTAACCAGTCCTTTACGAATTTTGAGGTGTGCTTGGGGTCATTATCTTGCTGGAATGTCCACCGTAAAGGCATTTCTTCTTCAGCCAAAGGGGACATGTGTTCACTAAGAATATCTTTGTAAAGTTTTTGATACATTTTCTCAACAATTGGACCCGTTCCAGAACTAACAAAACAGCCATAAACCATGATGTTGCCTCCACCGTGCTTAACTGTTGGCAACTGATACTTTTTGTCGAATCCTTTTTTGTGCAAATTCAAGCCGAGCAATAAGATTGTTTTTTTGAAATGAGAGGCTTTTGCACTGGACGCTTAACAAAAAGCCCAAAATCCACCAAGCGTCTCTGCACTGTCCTGACAGAAAGATTCTGATTCAACATTTCTGACACCACTTCTAAATAATTCAATTACTTTGTCTCTTAAATCTTTTGAAAATCCCTTTACTTTTGCCATTCTCACTGATGTTAATATTTACCGCACGGAATATCAGAGTATCGCCGAACGAATAAATACAGCAAAACTGGAATATTTCCATACTTTTGTCGTACAAAAACTGTGGTATTTAAAAAACGCGTGTTTTTATTTTCAGAGAATTTGAATATTGATAAGATAAGCCTTGTTCTTTCACAATTTTAATTTAGGCATATAATAATAATAATAATATTTATTCACTCAATGTACAAAGATAACAAACAATATGAGTAAATAAATATAAAATCAAAACAGGCCCAATAGAAGGCATCGCCTGTACATGGACCAATAAATTTAAGTTGAAACTGTAGAATGCAAATGACAAAAAAGGACAAAAATTAGCTACAGTAGATTATGTATTTAGTTGATGTTCGTATTTATGAGTTTATGAATTTCAGTCCTAGATATAGAATGTAGCCACTTTTTTAAATTTCTTTTGAAACAATTTCCGAAACGTAAATCTTTTAAGTCTTTAGGTATAATTTCATAAAATTTAGGCGCTAAATAGAGATATGATCGTTGCATTATAGATTTATGCGGTTGAGGAACTACTGTGCCACGAATTTTGTACCTGGTATAATGATTATGTTTAATTTTTTGGTCGGTGTTTACAAATTTATGGTAGTGAGTGATACTGTGTAAGAAATAAAGCTGTCTTATATCATACATTCGAACATCTGCGTATAATTTTTCAGTGGGATAAAGTTTCGGTTTTTAAATATCATTTTTAGAATACTTTTTTGAAAAACATCTAAATTATAGATATGTGAGGAACATGCAGCTCCCCATGCTAATATACCATATGTGAGATGAGGCTCAATCAGTGCATGGTATAATGTTCGAAGATATTTTTCTGTCAATATATTCCCAAGGTATTTAATTTTGTAGGATACAAATCTAACTTTCTTTAAAATATAATTGACATGGATGTCCCATCGTAAGTGAGGATCCAAGACCACTCCATGGTATTTTATGTTGGGCACTCTATTAATTTGCATTTTTTGATCATTAATATTGAAGGAGAAATTTGTGTAATTTGGCAGATGTCTAGCATACGATCCAAATGGTAAAAAATGTGTTTTAGAGTAGTTAATGCTTAATTTTCTACTGTTAAACCACCGAATAATTTTGATAAAATCATTTTCAATTACATTTTTCAGATCAGACCAGTCAGTGCCTTCATATAATATTGCAGTATCATCTGCAAAACTAGTTATTTTGCCAACACAATTAATTTGGAAAATATCATTTAAATATAACGTATATTGAATAACAGCGGACCTAAGACAGTTCCTTGTGGGACACCACACTTAATATACATTTCTTTACTAAATGATCCTGATATCTGCACAGATTGTGGGCGATTTGACAAATAACTTTCGATCAGTGAGTACGCGTTTCCTCTGAAACCAATTCTCTCCAATGCTTCTAATAATAATTTGTGATTAACTGTGTCGAAAACTTTCTTTAAATCAACAAAAATGCAGATTGAAGGGATTCTGTTATCAATATTTTGATGTATTTGATTTACAATTTTAGTTATTGCGTCCGATGTAGCCTTCCCTTCTGTAAATCCATATTGATTTTCACTTAAAATTTTGTGAGGTATCGAATCATTCTAGTAGATAAAACTTTTTCAAAAACCTTTGCTACACTGGATATTATTGATATTGGTCTATAGTTGTTAACATCTGTTTTTGTTCCTGATTTATGTATCGGTATTATAGTACCTTTTTTTAAAATTGAGGGATATATGCCAGATTCAAAGCATTTGTTGATTAGGTAAGTGAGTGGTTCTGTTATGTCCTCGGCTATAATTTTCAAATGCTCGCTTTTAATACCATCGAACCCAGGACTTTTCCGATTTTTTAAGGACATAACAGTGGTGTATACTTCACATTGCTCGACTTTATCCAAAATAAATGAGTTCAAAGTTCTTTTTGGAGGCTGAGTATTTTGTACATTTGCTTGTATATTACTTGCTAAATTTTCGCCTATGTCAGTAAAGAATTGTACAAATTCATCGCATATCTGTTGAGTATTTTTTAATACTGTTCCCGATGTTGTATTTAACTCAGTGACACACTCTTTAACTTTTGTTTTCCCAGTAATCTCATCAATAGTTGTCCAAAGCCGCTTAGGATCATTTAAGTTATTATTCAATTTATTTAGGTAATGTTTTCGTTTGGTTTGCCTTACAAGCTCTATAAATTTATTTTTATATTGGTTGTAGCAGTCGGTATTCTCTGTAGTTGGCGTTAGTTTCATTACATTATATAGTCTTTCTTTTTCTATTGCCGATGTTATTAATCCGTTGGTAATCCAGGCATTTCTACTTTTCTCTTTGTGACTAATTATTACTTTATTGGTACTAATATCTATTAGTTTTTTTATTTTCTATATGAACAGTCCCGTTGCTTTGTCTATATTAGTAGAGTATAATTGTTCCCAGGATTCTTGTTTGACATTTGATATTAGTTTTGAATTGTCGACAAAAAATTTGGAATTTTCCTGGTTGTTACTAACGGTAGGGATGCTAGAATGTTTTTCATTTGAAGATATCAGTAAAATAGTGGAGAAGTGGTCAGTAATATCGCTTTCTAGGATAAGTAGTTCATAATAATGTTAATACAGGGTGGGCCATGAGTTAGTTAACATTTGAAAATATCGAATGAAAAAACATTTGACATATTTTAAAAATTGTTTATTCACAAGAAAGCTAATTAGTTGGAATTCATTTCTTGAAAATTATATCATCTAAATGACCACCGTTACGATTTTTGCACTCTTCTAAACGTATACCGAATTTTTGGAATACTCGTCGGCATGAAGACTGCGAGATCGCCGACATCCATTCGTTGATGTTTTCTTTTAGTTGACGGAGTGTACTTGGTTTATTGATGTAGACACGACTCTTTAAATAACCCCATAAAAAAGTCTGGTGGGGATAGATCTGGGCTTCTGGGTGGCCATGGGATGTCGCCTCCTCTGGAAATGAGCTTTTCTTTGACCACCGGCAGGGACTCGTTGGATGTGTGACACGTGGCTCCATCTTGTTGAAACCATGTGTTACGATTATAGCCTCAAATTACAGTAGCATCGGTGCCAAGAACTCCCGTAACATTTTCACATACTCAGCAGAATTAACAGTGACTGAATGGCCGCGAGAATCTTCGAAGAAGTAGGGGCCAATGATTCCTTTTCCTGAAATTGCAGCCCATACAGTTACTTTAGGAGAGTAAAGCGGCTTCTCGTGTTTAGCTTTGAGATTTTCGCTGCTCGAGTACCTGCAAATCTGTTTATTCACATGTCCGTTGAGGTGGAAATGGGCTTCGTCAGAAAATAAGAGATTGTCAAAATTACTGAATCGAGCTAACATCGTTTCGGCATACGACTTGCGCAAATTTAAATCATTAGGTTTTAGTCCCTGCACTATCTGGATCTAATATCAAAATACGGCGTAATGATGTGCGGGATAGTCCTAATTCAGCCAAACGTTTGCGCGTCGATAAATCTGGATCACCTTGAACAGACGCGGAAACTTGCTGCACGTTCTCTTCGCTCCGAGCAGTCTGTGGGCCGCCGGTTTGCTTCACATTCAGTGCAAATCCCGTCTCTTCGAACTACTTCACCCATTTCTTTATCAAAGGAGCACGGGGACACTGACTTAAGTCGTATAAATTGTATTCAACGCAAAATAAGCGTCTCACAGTAATGAGCGAACTGTTGTTTAAATAAAATTGTTTCACAAAGTAAACGCGTTGCGGCCCCGTTAAGCGATCCATTGCGACTGAATTTCCGATAAACGATCTAGCGACTAGCCCCCTCCCCGCGCTTCGCGCGGCATTTGTTTGCGTGGTGGATTAGATTTAAATGTTAACGAATTCTTGGCCCACCCTGTATTTGTTTCCAAACTTGAGTCCGCTACTGAACATACCCACGTGCGAAAAACATAACTTTCCTTCCGAGGCAGTGGGGTAAAAGTAAGGTCCTTCAAGTTTGAGTTCACGAACTTTTTGCAGCATTAGTTTTTTTTATAATAATTATTTCATTTTCTAGGATGACGAATGGTGTGCACCCTGCCCCGTGGAAAAAATCGCAGCTTTAGCAACCTACATCATTCAATGTATAAACGAAGACCAAATCGAGCATCGATTGGCCCAGTTGTTATTAGAAGCGTCTGTGACAATAGGAGAACTCAAATCGTAATCCTTAACGTGTATATTGTTGAGTCGGTTTTTAGTGTACGTACGTTTTTAATTGTTGAAGTTTTATATTTATACCAATATCAATAAACAAGTTACTGAAATGGCGGTATATCGTTAAAGATGTATTTTATTTATAATGTGCTCGTTTTGGAGGAGGGAACGGAACATTCAGAATGTTTATGATCGGAAATAATCAGGTGAGAAAATGTGATAAATCGACGAAATAGGCGCTAACGACGCTATAGAGGCTTTCTATTTTAAGGCGGCTCCAACGCAGTGAGTTTCAAGCCATTTACAAGGGTTCAGCTGCTTCGAAACTGACACTCCATTTTTCAATATTTTTAAATGAAATTCATACAGTATGTTGAGAAGATAATTGCCCAGGCTGCTATAGGAGCACTTTTTGAAATTTTGTTTTTGCACAAGTTTTATGATGGGTTGAAGTGCGCACTTTTTCTGTTCAACTACGCGATCTTTTTAAAAAGAACCTAGTGAAAAAAATGAAAAAGTGGCTCTATAGCACCCTGTGGGGTTTTGTTTTCAGCACACTGAAAATTTCATCTAAAAATATCAAATAATAAAGCGTCAATTTCGAAGCGCGCAAACCTCTACAAATCGTATTTTTGACGAATTTTGTCTACTGTTTCGTGCTGCCAACCCAAGCGTTGCGGAGTAAAGTACGGACTAAGAAAGGACGTATTCAGATAATTTGGTGGCCCTATTTCATATAATATCACGTAGATAAGTCGTTCTGCGAATAGGTACTCATAATCGCGATCGCTGATACTCCTCGATTTTAAGAAATATGTTTTTGAGAATGATAATTTAGTAGATTTTATACCTGCATTTTCATTTGAATTTCTGTTCTGCAGTTTGTGATGTTTTTCTGGATATAAGCAGGACATAATTGCCTAGAGTGCTATCAGAGCTTTTTACAAAATTTTGTCTTTGCACAAGAATTATGGTGGGTTGAAATGCTTACTATTTGTGCTCAACTTCGTGATATTTTAAAAAGATCCTATCCCATCTTCCATGGTATGACCTCTTCTTGCAATAATTTATTCGCTTACCCCAATGTATTTTGCGATTATAGAGTTGAACTGCTCCACACTATTGTTGTCCTCATCATGAATTAAATTCACTGCATTCGTGATTAAAATTGTCGCATATGACCTTTTATTGTCCATTATCAACCTTGATAAAAAAAAGGCACTCAAGAACAATCACACTAAAAAGAGTACAGCACAACAATTCAACAACATAATATCGACGAACAGTAACAAGGGTAGAACAATACTAAATGATCACTTGCTGAGTACCAAAATAGGAAACGATTTGCAGGCTAGATCGCTAATCGAAATCCGACTCTTATTATAAAAATTTACCTCGGTACGTACCCGCAGTCATCCTTTCCTCGTTTAAAGTAGCGCCGACGATCATCTAAGACCAGCCCACCCTCGTTTCCTTTTCACCCCCCGTTACCTCAGCAGATGGTGCTCGTGATTGTAGGAGCCCCGTTAAACGTCATTCTTATAGTGAATCAAAAAAATTCGTCTACACGAATGTAAATATAGTCTGAAAAATGGCATCATTTTTGTTCTACTTCCACGAACTGAGATCAGCTGATAATTAAAGAATTTGTTCAGACTCGTTAAAAAAACTTTGACGAAACCTTCAGCAGCCTCAAAAACGACGAAACACAAAGGATATTTTACTTTTTAGCCATAAATACAACGGATTTTGAAAAACTGTATATTTCTTGTTTGTTGCTATAGAACCAACAGAATTTACATGTTTTTCGTGTCGAAACGACAGCTTTTGCAGATGGCTCGGAAAAATATGCCCGACAAAAAATCAAATCGTCGCTATAAGAGTTTCAATATGTTAACCATATTTGTATTTGCCATCCATCAATCTCTTACAATACACAAATTAAGATGCAGAACTCAAGGATTAGAAGTCGATAGATAAACAATATATGTGTGTATTTTACATCATTTCTCTTCCATAACAATACTTTTAAAAATATATTTTACACCACAACTTAACATTAATAATTATCTACAATAATATCAGAAATTAATATCCACCTAGTCATGTGTATAAATAAGATACTCACTGGCTTTACCCAGAACTGGCACAACATACCAGGATGTCAAATAAGAAAAACATGCACGCGATTCGAGGGAAAATTGTCATCGAGCCGTCTACAATCTTGCAGTTTTACTTGGATTTTGAAACGTTTTGGATGATATCTGGTGTGGTAAAACCACGACAAGACGTTTTACTTATCTACGGACATTTAATTTATAGTGCAAAGAGACACTGAAAACGCAATGGACGTACAAAAAGTATAACATTAAACGCTATGTACAAAGTCTGTCGCAAAGTAAACAGGACTTTTGAAAGATATTCGATACAAGTAGCGCCATCTAGCGTTGGACAGGTACATCTTTCATCGATGCCCTGTCAAAATTTCAACCACTTCTCGCGGAATTATCGCGCTCAAAGTGAAGGTACTTTTTAGCATCGGTCGAAAAATGAGCATCGAACAAACAGCCAATATTAAGTTATGTGTTAAACTTGGTAAAACATCAGACGATGCAAGTGCATGGTGATGATTGTCCACGAGTGGTTTACACGGTTCAAAGAGTGTCGTGAGTCGCTGGAAGATGACGACAGTGGCGAAGCGTCCATGTAACCATTGTTACCATTGGTAACAGTTAAAAATCTTAAAAATATATATAAATATAATAGTTTTAGGGCTCTAACGAGGAGACATGAAATTTCTCCGTTACATGTGAGATGTGTAGCCAATTTAATTCAGTTTGGCAAAACAAACAATAATGGAAATATGTCTTAACCAATATTTTAGGCAGCACATTTCTAGATACCGTATGTTTTTTGGCAGAACAGGAATTACCATTTATTTTGAAGTGGATGACTCTGACAATAGAGGAAATTACAGGGAATTGTTAACATTCATGGCCAAAAAAGATCAAAAATTTTCCGAACATCTAGAAACGTCGACTGTTTTTTCGGACGGCTTGGATAAGTCGTAGCATATCATATATCTAGTGCCCCAGACGCTCAGTCCAGGAAGGTTTACCTTAATTTAAAAATAGTTTAAACAAAATGTATTTGGGAGGTTCAAAATAAACTTTTTTTAATAAGATTTTTCACATCTGGTTTTGGTAACAGTCACGCGTCGCCACTGGACGGCGAACATGTTGGCCAGCAAAAATTTGTGATTACGCCAGAAACCGTCGACAAAAAATCTTCATTGAGATATATAGAAATGGAATTAAATATCTCTAAAGATCCAATCCATCACATTTTTACCAAGAATTTGGGCATGAGAATGGTGTGTTCACGGTTTGTTCCGCACAAGCTCACGGATGACCAAAAATTGGTTCGAATTCAACATACGAGAGACATCAAACCCTCCACTGGTAACGTACGGTTCCTGAGACCGATGGAAGAGAATTCTCACGCTAAAAAACAAACACTGCGCTTCCCAGTACCTTTGGACAATAGTGTTATCTAGGCCCGTATCGTCAGTCGACCCTACAATTGTAGGGCGCGTTTATGGCCTCCTTGATTGTCATACTTTTTTCTCTCCTTCAAAAATTTCTAGATTACACTTGTCCCGTGTCAGCGTCAGCGCTCTCCTATTGTGAAGATTTGTTTTCCTTTTAAATTGTAGGAAATTTCAGGCTAATAAAACATGATATAACTCAAAACCAAGCATAATTTCATGCAAATTGATGTTTGTGACATAACCTCAAAATAGAGCGCTGACACGGAGAAGTAGAAAACAATGACAATCAAGGAGGCCATAAAGGCGCCCTACAATTGAAACTCCCGCTTTTATACTGATTTTCCACTCAACCATGCGCATGGCGCATGTCGCGCAGTCAGCTGATTTTGGACGGTTTGTCAGTAAGCATTCAGCTCGATCGTATCCTGTTTGCAGGTTATGTTAACATTTTCGCGTTTCCTCTTATATTTTACGTGATTACAATGTCTAGCAGTGAAAGTTCGGATACGGAAATGATCGATCGTAAAAGAAAAAAAGGATGTCCTGAAACATGGAAGAGAAATGAAAGGAAGAAAGCTCGTCTTCTTGGAAGCCAATACACAACTAAAACTGGGAAAATAGTCAGCAAAAGGGAGGTTAAAGCAGATTGCACGTAAGCTTTATTACTATAAAATAACACAATCGTTTGTAACAATATTATATTGTTTTTTTAGATGTAAAAACAAATGCATGACTAAATTTACGATGGAAGAAAAAGAAGCTGTTTTGAGGGCATTATACGAGAAAGGTTCAAAAAACCAACAAGATGTCTATTTACATGGGTTAATGGAATGTAAACCAGTCGTTAGGAAGCGACCAAATAAAGAGGCCAGAGAAAAACTTAGGACAGCGAGTTTTTCTTATTACATACGAAAACCTTTAGAGAAACAACGTGTTTGCAAAACAGCCTTTCTTAATCTACATTCAATCTCGAACTCTAGACTACAACGACTAAATAGATTGTTCGTGTCTCAGAGTTCACCTAGAGATTTACGTGGTACGCATAATAATCGACCTCATACATTACAACCTCAGGTTACTTCCAAAATCCATCATCACATTGAATCGTTTCCACGAAGGACTTCTCACTACAGCTCTAAAGAAATTCACTATCTTGATTCAAATCTTAACGTTAAGACTATGTATAATCTCTTTGTAAAATTACACCCGGAATTAACAAAGATAGTTGAATATGAATTTTACTTAAAATTCTTTAAAGAGAATTTTGCATTAAAATTCGGGAGGCCTCAAGTAGATGTATGTGGACAATGCGAGGAATTAACAACAAAACTTAAGGATTCAAATTTAAACGACAACGCTAAGAGAGTTGCTGCTGCCGAATTAATGGTTCATAAGCGTCGAGCTAAAAAATTTTACTCAAAGCTAAAGGAAGTCACTGATCTGTGCCATGAACGAGAAGATGTTGGTGGAATAGTTTTTGACTATGTTCAAAATATGCCTCTGCCTGTTATACCTGTCCAGGAAATTTTTTATTACAGGCAACTATGGCTATATGGGTTTGAAATACACGATTTAAAAAATGATACTGGACATTTTTATACATACCATGAGGGACAAGCCGCGAAGGGACCCAATGAGGTATGCACGTTTATCAATGATTATGTGCCGAAAATGCCAGCGGAGATTCAAGAGCTGCACATATTTTCGGACGGTTGCCCGGGCCAAAACCGGAATAATACCGTAATAAGATATTTATTAGCACTTGCAGCTTCAAAAAGATTTCGCAAAATTTATCACTACCTCCCATTGCGAGGTCACTCTTTTTTACCGTGCGACAGGGACTTCGGATGTCTTAAGAGAGTGATAAGAAAACATGATCGTATATATCTTCCAGAAGATTATGAAAACATGATGCTCTCTTGCCGCAAAGTAAAGCCGTTTACTGTATCAACAATATGTTATAAAGATATAACTGATTACAAAACTTGGTGGCCCAAATATTACAAAAAAACTCGTCAATCTTCAGATGAAATAAAATCCAAATTTACACTATCAAATTACAGGCAGTTTACTTATGATAGTTCTACACCTGGATACCTCATCACTAGCGACTATATCGGAGGATTTGTGTCGCAATGTTTTAAATTAATCAAACCTAAAGCCATGCCAACTTTACCAACTAACCCTGCATATTCAAAGACATTACCAATAAATATAAAGAAAATTGATAATCTAAAAAAAGTCCTGCAATATATGTCGTCAGAAATATTGGAATTCTATTACCATATTACTTCATGGGAAACCACCAACGCTGAATGTGAGGCAACTGAGGCGGACTAATAAAACTATTTTTATTGTATTATAGTATATCATAAATATGTTCTTTTCATCGTATCTAAGTGTATTTAGGTTAAATGTACATTAAATAATAAAAAGCATTCTAATTTGTAGTTTTATTTACTAATTAAATTCATGATTTGAGGCATGTTTAAAGTTGGGCGGAAAAACCATATAACTCCTAGTGACGTTTTGACATGTATATTATTTATTACAAAAAATAATTGATAATTCACTTTACATTCGTTCAGAGAACTTAATTGTCTACAAACTTGCAACGTATATATTTCTTGTATATTATATAGTTTTCAAACAAAACACTTTTTTGTGATTACCTCAAATTCGTATTTTTGGACTTATATCGTTATTACACTCACCGATTCAATTGTAGGGACAACTGACGATACGGGCCCTAGTTAGTCACAAACGGTGGTGTGCAGGTCGTTGTAGAGATATACGGGCGACCGACGTTACCTTTTGAGTAACATATTGAGACAGGAACAGCGGAGTGCTTTATAAATTAGACGGCGAGTTATTTTTTGTTTCACTATATTTTACTGATGTATTATATTTTAGGCATTTTTTACGAGAATGGCTAATTCTTACGAAAAAGAACAAGAAAGGTTACTACACCTATTTGAGGAAGTTCCAACTCCTTCCGCATCCGAGGTAGAAGATGATGATCAAAGTCTACAAGGTGATAATTTAGAAACACTCGAGTATGACACAAGGATGTCCAAGATCACGTTACCGTACAAGCAGCAACACGGGTGCCTTGCCTTATTGGAAAAGATGGTACGAGATGGAAGAAACATCTTGGATTGAAGCGTAACATTCGAACTCGGCAAGATAACCTCTACAGACAATTACCAGGTCCCCGAGGCGAAATACGGAAAAAACATATCATCAAAGAAATTTGGAAATGTTTTTTCACCACAGAAATGCTGGAAAAGATAGTAGGGTATACCAATATTTTTATTGCCATGCAGTCCTATGATATAACAAAATACCAAACCAATAAGCCAGTAGACATCTTCGAACTTAAAGCTCTGCTAGGCATGCTATATACGAGGGATGTCTTTTAAGTTTTGCATATAGAAACATAGTAGGCCGCGCGGATCGAACGTCAGTACTGAATCTTCACCTCACTCTTTAGTAAACTCAAATTCAAAGTTTCACAACAATACTTGCAGTGTTCTCACTACAGTGAATTTTTAAGTGTCACCAAGTCATTAGAAAAATGGAACTCAACCGAGAACATTTTCGCGCCATAATTTATTACAACTTTCAGAGACAATTATCGCAACAAGAATGTCTTGCTGAGTTACTGTCTGTTGTCGGCAACGAAGCGCCACATCAGTCGACAACTTTCCGTTGGTATGGAGAACCCAGGAAAACGTCGATGCTGCGCGCAAGCTCATCACTGAAGATAGACATGAGAGATATCGCGAGATTGAGGCGTCCTTGAAGATCTCGAAGACCTCAATTCAAAAAAGTTTACATGAAGAATTAGGAGTAAGAAAATTAGTTTCTCGTTGGATACCCCACCTGTTGACTGAAGAGCAGAAAGCAGCCAGGGTTAATTGGTGTCAAAAAACGCTTGACCGTTTTACTTCCGGAAACTCAAAAAATGTGTACAGTATTGTTAGTGGTGATGAATCGTGGATTTACTGTTATGAACTAGAAAATAAACGACAGTCGGCTGTTTGGGTGTTCTAAGGTGAAGAAAAGCCATCAAAAGTCATCCGTTCTCGAAGTGTTTCGAAAAAGATGGTCGCGACATTTGTGTTAAAAGCGGGTCATATTGCAACAATTTCTCTTAATGAGCAAAGAACTGTTACTGCGGATTGGTATACCACCATTTGTTTGCCAAAAGTCATCACCGAGCTTCGAAAAATCGACCCCGAAAGAAGAATCATCCTCCACCAAGACAATGCAAGCTCGCGCACAGCCCAAAAAACAAGGCAGTATTTAACGGAAGAAAACGTGGAATTATTGGACCATCCTCCATATAGTCCCGATCTAAGTCCTAACGATTTCTTTACTTTCCCGAACATTAAAAACAGACTGCGTGGTCAAAGGTACCAGTCACCAGAAGAAGCAGCTGACGCAATCAAGAATGCCGTTTTGGATCTGCCAGCAAACGAGTAGAATAAGTGCTTCGAAAAACAATAAAGTCATTTAAAACTACCTACCGTGTTGTTTTATTTCCATATGCAAACCTTAAAAGACATCCCTCGTATATATATATATATCTGCATCTCAAAAAAGTAACCGTCAGAATGCAGAAGATCTGTTCAGAACAGATGGTAGATCAATAGAAATAAATAGACTCACGATGTCGATGAGGTTTCAATTTCTCCTCAGGCACATTCGTTTTGACGACAAAAATACACGAGTGCAAAGACAAAGTATTGGCAAGTTGGCTCCAATACGTGAGATTTTTGACACATTCAACTCCAATATCTCTAAGCCTTGCAGCCATTCAGCGTACACTACTGTCGATGAAAAATTAGAAGCCTTTCGGGGTAGGTGCTTGTTTAGGGTACACATGCCAAATAAGCCCAATCGATGCGGCATAAAAATGTATGCATTAGCAGATGCTAAAATGTTCTACACATCTAAGATGGAGGTTTATGTTGGAAAACAACTTGTAGGGCCATTTTGTGTAGATACCTCAAATATTGCATTGGTACCTCGGCTTACTGAACCCATTTGGGGAACAGGAAGGAACGTCACAATGGACAACTTTTTTACAAGCATGAAGCTTACTGAGCTGCTTTTACGGGAACATCGTATCACTGTAATTGGAACGCTAAGGAGAAATAAACCGCAAATACCACCAATTATGACAACCGTTAGGAGGCCGGAAAAAAACAGTATGTTTGCTTTCCGGGAAAACTCTACCATAGTTTCGTATATCCCTAGAAAAAATAAAAACGTTTCAGTTCTCTCATCTATGCATCATGACGATAATATTGATGCGACTACAGGAAAGCCAGAAATAATTATTGATTACAATCAAACAAAAGGAGGAGCCGATATTGTAGACAAACTGGGCGCTGGCCCATGGTAATTTCTTACAGCTGTCTGAATGTAGCCGGAATAAATTCCTACATAATTTACAAATCAAATACTGAGAAAAAAATACACAGAAAAAAATTTTTGGAAAATTTGGAATTTGAACTTATTCAGGAACATAATGTAAGAAGATCTCTTGAGCAAAATATTTCTAGGACAATTCGTTGGAGACTTACCGAAATTTATGGAGGGAATGTAGAGAACTTACCCTCCCAGAACGCGATCCATGGGCGATGTGCGTTTTGTAGTATGTAGTAGGAAAAACAGAAAAACTAGGTATTTTGACTGCTACGCAGGAAAAACTGATGAATAAACTTCCAGCCTGTCCAAATAATTTTGACTTCAATTTTGCTCTATCTATTACTTGATTATTATCTTTATGTTACTTCTATTAGAAATGTAAATCACGATTTATTTTTTTTGTTTTTTGAAAAAAATGAAATGCTGCCAAAAATTGCATGATATTTTTCAGTCTTATTATTGTCCTCCTTCAAATTATAAATTTCACCATATATCAATAAATATTATCCTACAATAGTGTTAAATTTAGTCTCAAATCAAAATTATTCCATACCAACTATTATACTCTTCTAGAATGCTACAGCTATAGAAGGGTCTCACAGACCGATGCACAGTGTTTCGATAGCATCAAGTTGGCTGGTCAAAAGTCATTAACGAATTGTGGCGAAGTGACATTAAATATTGACAGACGTCACTCCAATAGTTGTGATTTCAGTAATTATTTTGCTTTGAATTAATTAAATGATACGTTTAATATCAACATATCAGTTGAGGAGTTATTGTAAAATTTATTCCTTATTTTGTACTTCGTGCGACAATATTATTATAGTGGTTGTTGTTGCCGGACAATATATCCGTAGCGATGGATTCTGTAATTAAAGGTAAGCACTGCTTAATGTTAATAACCAACTATATTAAATACACCTCAGTAGTTGAAAAAATCTTAATTTTTGAAAAGTATTGATTTTTTATCAATTTTTTTATTTTATAAGAGAGGAAATTATATGCCCCCGTGTGCCCCCGGGCTAAAATTCATTTATGTCATAGGTGTTAGTTCCTACTCTTAAAATATAATAGATTTTAGCTGCATATTTTTGTACAACTAATTTTTTTCCATCGTTTTTCAGTTTACGTCTACACTATTTGGAAAATGGAATTTTTAGAGGAATGGCTGAAACATGAAAAAAGGGACCAGAACAGCAAGTTATACCAACTTTTATCCACAAAATATGACTTTCTGGGTATTACCGAGGCTTCATTGAGGGAAACAAAAAACTCTATCTGTAGATTTTCGTCAAAACTATCCCAGAAATTTTCTAATTGTGGAAAGAATCGAGAACGCTTTCTGTTGAAAAATTCGGAATGGATGGCTGGCGATCTACGCTTTAATATTTCTCTTCATTATTCGCAACCATTTCTATCTGAAAGCTCTACTGCACTTGGAAGACCGCGAAAAGAATTCGCCGAGTCAAGCCACAAAACGAAAAAGAGACGAGTTGAACGGACTCTTTACAATTTAGAAGTTTAACCTACCAAACAAAATGACAGATGAGCCCCTTAAAGTAAAAATGCTGATGGCAAAAGTAAAAGCAGTTTTGAGTTGCAAAAAAGACACAACAGACATCATAAGAAACCAAAAAATGATGAATTTAAGATTAATTGAAAAATCAGCAAGATCAAAGAAGGACCCATCTCCAATAACAAGTGCTATGTCATGCATGGGACTAAAGTATCCTATCTCAGTAGACAAAAAGAAGGCTGATGAATATAAAATACCTAATATGTTCCTACAGAAAGGAAAAGAAGGGGAGGATAGACACACACATGGTAGGATTCTATGCAAAAAAGAGGCCATAGACTGGTGGGTCTCTCAGAGTGAGGTTCCAAATCAATCTATTCAGGATTCTGTAAAAGTACTTTATAAGGTGCACACAGAAGAAGTGGAAAAGTATTACAACATAAACTGGAGCAGGGCCACTATCAAATATGGGATGCCCGTGATAGAAAGAAGACATGTTAGGACCAGGAATCCAATATTTGAAGTGCCAAAATCAATACAGAATTCACTAATCAAGGAAGCATTGTTCCCGGAGCTCACATTACCTGATAAGAGAATAACTCCAGCTATGAAATCAGAGGCATCTTTGTTAATAAATTTATCACTTGAAGGGAAATTAGGTATTGCTTCCCAAATAAGAATACTAATTAACAACCTTGACCCGAAAGTAAGATGTCTCCCTACTTTACCAGGATCTTCTGAAAGCTCTGCAACCATGAAACATGCAATATGCCACTCAAACTTTGTTATCACAAACATAACTATAGCAGACAAAGATGCCATGAAGAAGGATACAATGAAGCTTCTCCTCCGTGCCTTGAGATCTGTAATATATGAGGCAAAGAAGCACAAATGGGATATTGACACTACCAAAAAAGTCCTATTGTCCTTCAAGATACAAGGTCTGACAATAGAGGAAATGCTACAGCACTGCTATGACAGAAACTCAGTGGAAGTGAAATTCGCGAGAGCTATATATGGATATCCTGACACGTTAGAGATTGAAAGAGATGGATTTATACAATGTCCCAAACTCTCTAATATCAGAATCATGTCAGCAAGAAACAAAGCCAATGTAAGATTTCATTTCAATAGCTCAGAAGAGATCGTGAATTTCAGATATGGGGACATAAGAGGAAACTATAGCCATGCAAACTGCATACTTATAAGTGCTACCATGAACTACACTTGCAGAAGAGACCTTATAACAACTCTCACAGAAATAGCAATATCTATAACAAGTGCTATGTCATGCATGGGACTAAAGTATCCTATCTCAGTAGACTAAAAGAAGGCTGATGAATATAAAATACCTAATATGTTCCTACAGAAAGGAAAAGAAGGGGAGGATAGACACACACATGGTAGGATTCTATGCAAAAAAGAGGCCATAGACTGGTGGGTCTCTCAGAGTGAGGTTCCAAATCAATCTATTCAGGATTCTGTAAAAGTACTTTATAAGGTGCACACAGAAGAAGTGGAAAAGTATTACAACATAAACTGGAGCAGGGCCACTATCAAATATGGGATGCCCGTGATAGAAAGAAGACATGTTAGGACCAGGAATCCAATATTTGAAGTGCCAAAATCAATACAGAATTCACTAATCAAGGAAGCATTGTTCCCGGAGCTCACATTACCTGATAAGAGAATAACTCCAGCTATGAAATCAGAGGCATCTTTGTTAATAAATTTATCACTTGAAGGGAAATTAGGTATTGCTTCCCAAATAAGAATACTAATTAACAACCTTGACCCGAAAGTAAGATGTCTCCCTACTTTACCAGGATCTTCTGAAAGCTCTGCAACCATGAAACATGCAATATGCCACTCAAACGTTGTTATCACAAACATAACTATAGCAGACAAAGATGCCATGAAGAAGGATACAATGAAGCTTCTCCTCCGTGCCTTGAGATCTGTAATATATGAGGCAAAGAAGCACAAATGGGATATTGACACTACCAAAAAAGTCCTATTGTCCTTCAAGATACAAGGTCTGACAATAGAGGAAATGCTACAGCACTGCTATGACAGAAACTCAGTGGAAGTGAAATTCGCGAGAGCTATATATGGATATCCTGACACGTTAGAGATTGAAAGAGATGGATTTATACAATGTCCCAAACTCTCTAATATCAGAATCATGTCAGCAAGAAACAAAGCCAATGTAAGATTTCATTTCAATAGCTCAGAAGAGATCGTGAATTTCAGATATGGGGACATAAGAGGAAACTATAGCCATGCAAACTGCATACTTATAAGTGCTACCATGAACTACACTTGCAGAAGAGACCTTATAACAACTCTCACAGAAATAGCAATATCTATAACAAGTGCTATGTCATGCATGGGACTAAAGTATCCTATCTCAGTAGACTAAAAGAAGGCTGATGAATATAAAATACCTAATATGTTCCTACAGAAAGGAAAAGAAGGGGAGGATAGACACACACATGGTAGG